TAATGATAGAGGCCTTTAGAGATAGCCTGTTATGTAGTAGACTCTACCATCTATGTGCACGTAAGTGCACCATATGATGAACACACAGTGACAAAACCACCTAACAATGAATTTCTCAGAACATATCCTTATCATGAAGCCAGGCATAACTGCATCCAATAGCTCTCTTCCCACCCACCCCTAAAAGTCCCTATTTTTTCAGTCAATGCTCTTTTAATATCTGAATCTATAAAATAATTGTTACAACTAATTTCCTCCTATATTAAATTTCATAGGAAATCAAAAGCAGGTATAGTCTACCTATCCCTATTGCTTTTCTCAGCATTGCTGGACACATGTTAACTGCAGGACAGTCTGAATGCATTTACACATGCAATACAGTGTTTTCTACTGATCAAATGTTTTTATTAACTCAAGCATCATTGGAGAGATGCTTATAGCCATTGAGAATTCCCCAGTGACCTCCTATAGCTGACAATATCCAAATACCTGAGTAGACAGACCCAGCAAATCTCCATAGCTATGCAATTAAAACACAAGGGGATTTTGCTTACTAGTGAGACCTAATCAGGAGCAAGGCAGGTGGAGAAACATCCCAGACACTTCAGGAAACATGCCTAGTCCCTTTCTGCCAGGAGCAATTATTAGCCAAACTGCTTGGCAAGAATATAAAAGAGGGATACCATGGGGGCCTCCCTGGTGGCACAAGGGGTTAAGACGAAACCTATGAAGCTATCCGCAGCCACTGCAGCACGAGTTTGATCCCTAGCCAGGGAGTTAACCCACATGGTGCAGCAGACCTCCCCTGACTCGCCCACTGTTCCCCTCAGCACCATTTTTCAGTCAATCTGCCTGTCCTCTTCCCAGCTCTGTCTCTGGTGAATTCTCTCACCCTCCGCACCTCTGGCCTGCACCCCAGTTCTTATATGCATAAATATTTTTTAAAAAATAAAAGAGGGATACCTTGGTACTTGAGTTTGTCTTGACAGAATTATTTCCACTTTGGAGGAAATAATATGAAGGGAATAAGGACACATACCAAAAAGTAGATGAGAGATTAATACCAGTATCATGATATTGGCAAGCGGGAAATAGTACACACACACAAACACACACACACACGCACACACACAAACCAGAAAATTCCTGCACCGATGAATACATATTTATTAGAGACTTAATAAGTACAAAATCTGCACTAAATTCCATGGGGAGCACAAAAATTGTCCATCTATTTCATAAGCCTTTGTGGCATGTCTACTAAGTACTCAGGACTTTGTTATATGGGGGGAGGGGAAAATAAAGTGAAAAAGACAAAGTTCCTGCCCCCATGGAGACCACATGTAGCAGGAAGGAAGATAAGAAACCGGTGAACAGGGGCCTCCCTGGTGGCACAAGGGGTTAAGGGTCAGCACTATCAAGCTATCGCAAGCCATTGCAGCACAAGTTAGATCCCGGGCCAGGAAGCTAACACACAGGGCACAGCAGACCTCTCCTGTCTCGACCGCTGTTCCTTGCAATTAATTCACCTGTTCTGCTCCACATTCTGGAGAATCCTCTCACCCACCCCACCCCCACACCTCTGGCCTCTACCCCAGTTCTTATATGCACAAATAAATAAATCCTTAAAAAAAAAAAAAAAGAAACCAATGAACAAAGAGTATCATGAAATGCTGTCACAGGAGAAGGGGCGTCTAGGAGTACAGGTTTTCCGTTCTATCCGAAAGTACAGAGCCTTCCTATGAAACCATCCTAAGCCAAAATGGCGATGCACAAAGAAACAATTAACATTAATCAGTACTGCATAAAAGCTAAGCTAACAATAACGCATAGTAAAAGGAGTGATGATACATACGCACACTGTAATGTAAAGTAGTTCCAGGAAGGTGCTTGGCGGGGCCACTCTCACTTCTCTGAGTGCAGGTTGCCTCGCGGCTGCCGTAAAATACACGCTTAACGCTGGTTTTGCTTTTCGACTTTTGTCGTAAAACCGAACATCTCTGGATTTCTTTCAGTAAGCAAAAACATACTAATGATGAGCCTTTGTAAAATCAAAGCTGTTAGAAAAAGATCTTAGAAAAACAGGGGTTACCTCTATACAGCAGAGGCATACACACAAAACAACTGCAAGGACCAGAGGCTCCCAGGAATTTTTTTAAATGAAAACCATGTGTATTGATTGCCTAGGACTTCCATAACAAACAATGACAAACATGGAAATTTATTCTCTCACAGTTCTGGAGGCTATAAGTCCAAAACAAAAGTACTGGCAGAGTCATGCACCATCTGAAGATGCTAGGGATTCTTCCTTGCCTCTTCCAGTTTCTGGTGACTCAGCCATCCTTGGCATTGCTTATTGTAGGGGCAGGAATGGACACGGTGCAGGTTTTCTGATCCCATGCAGACCAGGTAAAGGAGGAGTCAGAGTCCTCAGTGGTTTTTGCAGGTCTTTTATTGGGATTTACCCGGTGCACAGCAGGCAGGGGTGCTGGGGGGCTGGCAGGCCCAGCAAATCTCCACTCTCTCTGGGCTCTCTGGTGTTCTCTCTGCTTCTCTTCTCCTTTCGGCTTCCGTTCGTTCTTGGCTTCTCTTTTGGCTTTTTCTGCTTCTGCTTTCTCTGCTTCTTGGCTTCTGCTGGTGTCCCCGTGACACCAACCTTAAAAGCGCAGTCTTAGCCCAGGTGAATTCCATCTACCTATGCCCACACCCTATTCCAGGTGGCCGTCATCAGGCATGCATTCAGGACTGCAAGGATCCATCATCTGTCCTGATGGTGGGAGGGCAGAAAAGCCTGACATTTTCTTTACCCTACACTTGTAGCTGCTTTGTTCCACTCTCTGCCCCTGTTGTCACATGGCCTTCTTCACTGTCTTCTCCGAGTCTCTCTGTGTCCTCTCCTTTTCTTACAAAAGGACCAGTCATTAGGTGTAGGCCTCATTCCTCAGTGTTACCTCATCTTTAACTAAACAAATCTGCAAACACCAACTTCCAAATAAAGTCACATTCTGAGATTCCAGGAGGATAAGAATTTGGGGGCAATGCTATTCAAACCACTAAGCCAGACAAAAAAAATAACACAGGCCTGATCTAAGCAGTGACCAACACAAACAGGAAGAAGAGGAAGGAGTCCAGAACATCCTCATTTTCTAGCTTGAATAACATACAGCTCATCTCTGATATAAGGCAATCCAAGCAGCAGGAGCCTTTCTTGGGATGTTGGTATTACCAAGTCCTTAGACTAGTAGCCACTATTATTTAATATTATTGACTGAATGCAATTTCTATAACTCACACTAACCCTGAAGAGTATTATAACTTCTGTAACAGTTGAGAAAAGTGAGAACAGAATCTTTCCCAGAATCACTCAGTCTGAAAGAGGTAGAAGATGAGGGAGGGTCAATGGAGAACAAGGGGGACAACCCACTGAGGTGAAAGCCTTTCTATTCTCCTAGATCAGTTTTTATAGCAGGAAATGATCTTAGCATGTTATACTCCTGGCAGGATAGCTAAATTCCTCTTTTGGACTCCATACTTTGCCACTAACAGTTTACAGGAAGAATTCCACAAAGCAAATTAGACATTACTCTCTTCTATATTTTTATATGTGTTAGTCTCCTATTGAGGAATATTGTTCATCAAATGAAAGTTATAAACACTACGTTGTTAAAATCCAGCCATCTGGAAAGTCATCTACCAAACCAAGTGCTATCTTGACCTCCCTTCTTATCCTGTCATTGAGCTAATACCCATGAATCAGCTCCCAGCCTCTAGAAATCTTCTTCTGACTCTTGTTAATGAAAATTACTCAAAACACAGAAATAAGGCAAAAAATAATTATGTGGTCTTTTATTGCCATGCTAGACATGTTCCAGTAAGCCCATTTGTGGGTTAGGTTTCACATAATATCATAATTAATACAATGACATTTTACAACTATGTAAAGTTGGAAGTTTGACTTAAAAAAAACTGATAAGGTATGATTATTTTCTTTTCTGTCTAGCAGAGAAAATAATCCCCCAAATCAGTCTCATAGAAATATAGGATACTTATTAGTTTTGTTTTTAATTCAACAATCTTTATTCACCTGCTTTTCCCAACTGACAATTTTATTCCACTTTTTTCTATTCTCTTTGAACCAGTTTTATTATTCTGCTAGTTTACTTCTCAAAAATAAGATAAACAAAACTTTGACACACAGTCACTATCTTCTTTCATGAGATTATGCTAATAATTTGGATATGGCTCACATATCTAGGTAAGAATTGAGCTCTCAAGTACTTCCACAGCTTGCACTACTGTAATAGCTTATTTGCCTGCCTGCCAGACTGGGCAGTGACTTCTAAGGAGCCACTGTTCACAGTGGACATTTCAGTCTTATGTCCACTGTTGATTCTTAAATCCAGCAAAATGATTACATACGCAGATGAGCTCACTCAAAATTCCTGAATGAGTTTCTTACCCAGATGCCTCCAAGTCCTTTCCACATGCTCTTTTCCTTTGTCCAGCACAATCTGAAACTCCTACATCTTCTTTTTTAACTTTGTAACAGTTCTATTATGTGCAGCCTCTTTGAAGAACAACAATTTATTCTAATTAAATGATAGGTTTTCTCACAATGGCATGCATACAGCAGGTTTTAGGCTTTAAAATAGGGTGACGGGCCTCCCTGGTGGCGCAAGGGGTTAAGCATAGCACTATGAAGCAATCCACAGCCTCTGCAGCACGAATTCAATCCCAAGCAGGCCAGGGAGAAACGCACATGGTGCAGCAGACCTCTCCTGTCTCCCCTGCTGCTCCCCTCAGCAGTGTATTTTGGTCAGTCTGCCTGTTCTGTCCCCACTATGTTTCTGGTGAATCCTCTCACCCTTCTCCCCCGCCCCCCATCTCTGGCCTGTGCCCCAGCTCTTGTATGCATAAATAAATAAAAATCTTTTAAAAAAATAAAATAAAATAGGGTGGAATTCATATCACCTGGCTGGGAATCAGTAACACTTAAAAATGGATATTAATAAAATCACCACCTCTTTTTAAAAAAATGTCAGTTTTTATTAAGAATGAAATTGATTACAGAAATAGCATATTACAAATATAATAAACAAACTCTAAAATAGACAGCAGTACATAAAAATGCTTGAATACCTAATTATGTCAAGCAGAAGTTGCTATACCCATACTTGTAAATCAATTTAGATTTATTGTCCATCAGATCATAGAATATGCCTCAATATTCTGATCCAGTTTTTTCTTCCGAAAGAACTGGTATTAAATTTGAGCTAATAGCGAAAGCCTTGGTAAGTATCAAATATTTCTGCCACCTAGCAATTTACTGACTTGGCTTCAAAGTCAACCTATCCCAAACCTTTAAAAATGGGTCTGGGTCCTTTAAATATTTTTTCCTTTTTTTTTTTTCCTTTGTAGCTGACAGGATTAAGGTTTCTCAGTAGAGGGCGCTGGACAGACATCACATGAGGAAAGGAGTCCTGTTCCAGCTTCCAGCCAGTTGACAGGCTCTTTGTAATCCAGTACCTCAAGCACGAAAGGAGGTATCCCTCGGTAACTAATTTCTGCAATATGGACAGCTTCTCCACTGTCCAGCCTCCAGGACACAAGGACGCCCCAGCGCTCAGTGCCTGTAGGGCATTGTGCAGAACCCAAACACCAGTAGCTCCCCATTCACCCCTTCAGGTATTTTGTAATGAAGTGTCCTTGTTGAGACCTCTCCTGCTAACAGGTTCCTCATGAACTCTAGACAGATTTCTAGCAAGATCCTCTGGCACAAATACTCCAGCAAGGTCAGGAAACAATGATGGGAGATGGGGGAGGGGCACAGGCATTCCTTGGGTGTTCTAGCTAAACTGTACCTTATATCTGTCATTCTTATATTTTTAGGGTCCTCTTTATATCTTAAATCAACTTAAACAAAAAGTCAGTTAATCTATTCAGGAATAGCCAAAAGAATGTCAATTCATGACACGCACGCTAAGGCAGACCATAATTGAAAAAAAAAAAAAGTCAGGGAGCCTGTTTATATAGAAAAAAGGGGGCAGCAGGAGGGACTGTTCTGAACAAGAGTTCATAGGATGAAAGTGCATGCCCGGGGTGGTGACAGCGTCTTTTTGGCTGAGCAGCAGTACTTCTCAGTAGCAGAGCTGTTGTGGGAAAGGATAAATCTTCCTTGAGCAGCTGGTAATGTCATTATTAGGAAACGTAAGGATAGCCTAATATTGGGATACACATTAAATAGATAAACCCATGAAATAATGGTGAGTGATAATGTGTAACTGCTCCCTCTACAGGTCTTCCCAACTCCAATTTTAGTAAAGGTTTCCTTATGCAGTTTTCACTTATTAACCAATTCCTCCTTATATTCCAACCCCTGTTATAGTTCACAATTCTTTTTTCATTTACTGTGTGGTATCTATTTCCTGAATAGACCCACACTAATACAAAACTAGAAACAATGTAAAAATGAAACATCTTTTTAAATAAAAGAAACTTTTTCAGGCACTTGATAAAAACAGCAGTTTCCAGTACATTACAAAAAGTGTTCACTTTTACAGAAATTAAATAGTTGTATTTAAAGAAATGGAAATTGCTTGCATATTTGGAATTTAGATGACTGAGAAAAATGAAAACATATACAGAGATTTTGCTATACCTTTCTACTGATTAAAGTTTCATTATCATAATCTTGTCTACTTTGAGATAAAAAAGATGTTTGTATTTTGTTAGCAATGGAGGGTCCCTGCAGTGCCCAGATATCTATAATTGGCTGGTTTTTGTTTCTAAGAATTCAGAGCTGTAGAGAAAGTGAGATTTCTTTACAGTTTAGTGAGATGCTTTCAAGTTTTCATACCTTATATATCATCTTTGTATTCAAATCAACTAGGTTTAAACACAGCCCATCGTTTTCTGGCTGGATAACTTCAAACAAGTGTTTTACTATATCAGGTATCTACTTTCTTCTTCTATAACATGACAATAACAATGCCGATGATGAAGGATGGTGGTAAGGATTAAATGAGATCATGTGAACAAACCTAATATCATAATTCCTGCCATCACTTATGAAGCAATAAGGGGAAAGCAGCAGCCATAATCACTGCTATCACTGAGATTTTATAACTTAACCTTTTGCCCTATTAATTTCATGACCTCTTTTGTAAACAAGTAAATGTCAGAAGAAGATCCTATAATGTCAATATGTGTCTTATAAAAATTAGTCAAGACCTGAAAGTACCTTAAACCTAGTTGTTCACAAGCTGACTTGATAGTTCTTTTCTCTCTTTCTTCCTTTCCTTCCAAAATAAATGTCTCTTTTCTAAGCTTAAAATGAAGATCATGTGAAAACTTCTCAATGAGCTTTTTCACCTGTTTTTCATTGTTTGATTCAGAATCATCTTGTGTACTTTTTATACAAATTGTGGTAATTTCACCATCGATTCTCTCCTTACATAGCATATGAAATTTTTTTAATGTGCTTTCATAAAATCTGTGCTTATTTTTCATGTAAAGGAAAACATCTGTGTCAAGGACAAGCATTTCTCCATGTCTAGTACTTTCAGGTAGTGATGGTCTAGGTGACTCCAGAGATTTACTACTTCTCTGTAGACTCCTTCTGGGACTCTCTCTATGCCACTTTTCCCCCTCACTGATAAAATTCCTGTTTTCTTCTAAAAGAGAACTTGCTTTTAGTAGCAAAGATTCTTTGAGTCTTTTGAAATCCAGAAATGATCCTTGAATGGAGATTCTTCCACTGGATCTTAAAGGACCGAAGTATAAATGTGGAATTTCCATTTTCAAGTCCATTACCAGGCTTATTAGGCTGACTTGACTTCGAAAAACAGAAAGATCAAGGGTCGCATTTACAGAGCTAAAAACCTATAATTCAAAGAGAGAGAAATTAAAACAGCCGAGGAGAGAGTAGATAAGCCCATTCTTTTTCTGCCACTTTCTCAGTCTCCACAGCAGTTGCCTTAAACCAGGCCCGAAACTTAACCCAGACTGACTTCTTGTGCCACAGCAGTCCACCAAAGGGATCCACAATTCCATTAAGATCATAATCTACCAGTGGGTATACACAGTCCCTCATCACATACTCCAAATTAGAGTACTTTTTAGATACAGAATGCTTTTCTGAAGCAAATTTTAAGCAGAACCTATAGACATAAACTATTCGGGCTCTGCTATGTGGATGGAACCCCCTAAAGTGCTCTCTAAGCCCAAAGTTCATCAGATGGCTGTTTAGAACTCTGGCTTTCTTACAGAATAAAGTTTTAAACTGATGTATTAAACTGTAACTTTTTGCTCTTATTTTCACCTTTTCTTACTCTCCAGGAATGTCCTACTTTTGATGTTCATTTTAATCTCCCCCCAAAATAAGTCCTGAGGTAGATACCCAACATCATCCATGACAGTGCAAAAGTTCACTGTCACTTTAAAAGCATTAAGTAACACATATAGAAACAAAAATCAGAGCAGGCAAAAACTAACTGATTCACACCTTACCTTTTCACCAAAATGAGAGATTGTGAGTTGAGCAGATCCAATTTTCTTTGCTAGATGGTGTTTCTTTTTTCTAATAATATTCTCTGCAACTAAGTAGAAACACTGCCATCAGAAGTGCTGGTGGCATGATACATTAATAATCACGTCAATACCGATAAGGTTGTTTCACCTCTATTATTTAAAAAGCATAAGATTTTTCTGTAAATTCACAGTAAGATTTTCTCTAAGGGAAATAGCTTTCCCTTTTAGTTAACACATTAAATTTCATTTTACTTGTAAATGTGACCTTAATCAAACTTTAAAAAAAAAAAGCATCTCTATATCAAACAAAAACCTAGAAGTAAATTCCCTACTCTGTTAATTAAAGCCATGAGGAGACTTGACCTTCTTGAAGCCAAGCTACCACCCGTCTTGCTTTCCTTTGATTCACCAGTTGAAGTTTTCAGGCTCCATTGCTAATTCTCCTTCTCTTTCCATTCCCAAGGTATTTCACACCACTGGTCTCAAGCCTCTAATCTCTTTGCTAACCTACAACCAGCACCCAGGTGAGCTCAACAGTTTCCAAGCTTTATGTATCATCTATATATGTGTCACTTCCAAAATTCTATTTTCAGCCAGGACCTCCTTTCTCCCTCTGCTGTGAAAATCTCTAATTCACTATGCAAGTATGTGTCTCAGTGCCCAAAATTCAATTCTTGATAACTATAACTCTCCCAAAAGTATAGTGTTGCCCAGCTCAAGAAAGGATGCATCCTGGGCCTCCCCTGGTGGCGCAGCGGTTGAGTGCTGGGCTGCGAGGCTGCCTGCAGCCTCTGTAGCGCCGGTTCGATCCCCGGCTGCCGGTGAGGGTCCCACAAAAAAAAAAAAAAAAAAGGATGCATCCTATTCAATCATCAGCAATACCAAGCATTTCTCAGTCACCTGTCCTGCTACCACCCTAAGCAAGACTGGTGATGAATAGTAGCTCCTATTCTCCACACAGCTGCCTAACTGAGCATCTGCATAAAATGGTCACATTTTTTCAGTTCAAAAACCTCCAGTATTCTCAAGACTGCCCACCTGTGTCTATGCAGGTGTCTTTCTTTTTTTCTTTCTCCTTTTCCTAATAAACCTTCCTTTTAAAATTAAAAAAAAAAAAAAAAAAAAAAAAAAAACCCTCCAGTGGTTTCCTAACTCACCCAGAATAAAAATCCAGACACTGTGCCTTGACCAATAAGCTACTTAAACGAACTGGCTCCCAACTACCCATCTAAACACCTCCTAGGTTAACTCACATATGGCACAGCCAACCTATCCTATCTTGCCCACTGCTCCCCTCAGCAGTGTATTTCAGTAGATCTGCCTGTTCTGCTCCTCACTGTCTCTGGTGAATCCTCTCACCATGCCCCCTTGCACCTCTGGTCTACACTCCAGTTCTTCAATGCAAAAATAAATAAATAAAACCTTAAAAAAAAAGAATTTGCAACCCCCAACAACATTATCATAAATCATTTTTCACATATATTCTTGCTAATATGATGTCATTTTATACTTAGAATATTTTTAAAGTTACTTTAAACTTTATCAATCCTATGAATCATTTTAATGAAATTTAATTTTTAATTTCATTTTAGAAATGTTTCCAAGGATACAAACATGATTTGGAAATACCTTTTTTTTCTCTGAATGTCACATATGCAACTCCCTTGGTTCTTGTTGGATATATTACATCTTCTACTACTCCACCCTCATTCTTAATGTCTTGGAAGTGACTCTTTACTAAAGTAGTCAGTAAGTGGTTATTAAATAGACCAACAGGAAGACCAGCAACTACAATTGTTCTCTCAGAAGATTTGGATTCCTTGACATTCAAAGTGGATGCCTAGAAGAGAGTAAGATACTCTTTAAATATTAAATATATACAATTGGAATTAATAAAGGCAACATCATATATCAGTGTGAGAGGTGACTTTTTTCAATACAGATATTAGTGCAGCTGATTAGATACTTGAAAAAATATATTAAAGAAAGATCCTTAAATCACACCACATGCCAACATAAACTACATGAACTTGAGAGTTAAATGTAAAAAGTGAAACCTTTTTTTAATCATGAGAAGAACACCAGTTATTGAGTGTCTGATTTTAGGCCTAAAAATAATGAAAGTCATAAAGAAAAAGATCAGGAGATAAAATATTTTAATTATAATCAAAAGGTCAAGCCAATCATCCAGAGATATCTGTATGATTTCTAAATCCCTGAAACAAAAGTACATAAGCCAAATAAGAAACATATCTACTTCTTTGGGTCATGATCAGGAACAAGTCACATTTAAAAAAATAAAAAATAAAACCCTGGCAGTAACAGGACTGCAATGGAGTAAAGCCTGCTTTCCTGCACATATCTGAGAAGAAGTTCAACCACAGAGAGTATATGCTATTGCAGGCCCTGCCACCATGCTGGGCACACAGAAGCAAAGGCAAGCAGATCCTTCCCTAGATTCTCTCTTTGAACTTGGGTTATTCAGTGAAGGGGTTTCTGTTTAAGTGTTTTAATTTGTTCACTGGTCCCATGTAGGAAAATGCACCTATAAATGGCTCCGCATGCTTATATAATTAGCACAGCCTGATTATGCCAGAGCACACACATAATTTATCCTAAATCACCCCCAAGGAGGATTGGGGAGGATCACCCCCAGACTCTCTCATGGGCTTGGTAATGGTCAATGAATTACAAAGATGTTTGAAGCTCTCAGTTCAGAGGAATTGCTGGCTTGAAGAGCATGCGGGTGAGGACCCATAGTCAGGCCAACCCATTTCACATTGGGGTAGCCCTGTAACAGAATCTGTACCTTAAGCAGGACTCCACTGGTGACAGACAAACTACTTCAAACTTTCCAGACTGGGAAGACAATCTATGAATGCAATGTCCTGTCCATCCCAAGAATGTCTCAAAATAAAAACAAAGGAATAAAAAAGAGAATAAACCCAGTAAAAGGGAGAAATCAACATGGGAAATGTTTCAACAAATTTCTGGAAGACTGAAAATATACAAAGTATGTACAAGAATAAGACAGAGGGAAGGAACGAACTAGAATGAAAAAAAAGAGTTGCAGTGGAAATGTAACAACCTTAATGCTAGAACCTCAGAAACAAAAAATTGACCAAAAACTGAAAGGCTAGTAGTAAAGCAATTGTGCCAGTTGTCCCATATCCCCTACCCGCCCTCCATGAGTGCACGCCCATGCTTCAGCACGCACATACATGAATGCAGCTAGATGACAAACTCTGGGGAAAAAACATTTTACTTTTTAAAAGAAGTCTGAATGAACACTCTGGGGAGAATATGACTTACTAGTGTGGTTGCTGGCACACCACAGCAAGTTCCCCTCCCTTTAGAGCCTTTAAAAGGTCCCATGTCTAAAGATCTTAAGTGTGAACATATTATGAATGATCTGGGAATCTCCTAGCAAATAAGAGAGCAAAGACATCTGGCAGATTTAAAATCAGAGCAGGCTCTATTCTGTGAAGCAGCCACACAAGAATGTGACACTTGCTAATAAAACAAACTTCCAACCTCCACAAAACCCCAAGAAACCAACTAAAGATTTTAAAAATGGAGACCCAGCCTTTGCAGCTCCACAATGCATTCTTCAGAAGTCAAGAAAATAATTAAACTGGAGTATTTGCCCTCCTCTGTACATAAATATCATTAATATTTCTTTCTAGAAGATAACTTAGAAGTCAAGCGATCTGTGTTGTTAAGAAAACAAGGGCACCCTGCCAAAAAAATTACATTTTTTGCATCAATATCAATGACTCACCTTTCCTTTTTTTCTTCCACAAGTATGCTATTCTGTGGTATCTAAACTGAACTCAAATTTGTGCTTGTAGGAGCAGTTCTTACAAAGTAAATTAGTGTAACTATTTCCTGGGTTGGAACCCTCACTTTGATTATGTAATAAATTCTTTGCCTCTCATTAAGACTTTTATTGCAATAACCATAAGCAAACTAATGTGTAACACAATTTGGAATAAAAGATAATTCATTTGACCCGGCTATTAAAAACATTTTCCTATAAGTAGAAGATGGGAAAAAAACATGACATTGCACCAAAATGAGAAAAAACAACCACAGCACCCTGGTTAAGGCCCTGCTATAACAGTATTTACTATTGGCATAATAATGTAAACTCTCTGGCCTCCCTGGTGGCACAGGCGCTTGAGCACTGCACTATGAAGCTGTCCCCAGTCTCTGCAGCCTGGGTTTGATCCCAGCTGGCCAGGGAGAAACCCACATGGCACAGCAGACCTCTCCTGTCTCTCCCGCTGCTCCCCTCAGCAGTGTATTTTGTCAGTCTGCCTGTTCTGTTCCCTGCTCTGTCTCTGGTGAATCCTCTCACCCTCCCTCATATCTGGCCTGTACCCCAGTTCTTGTATAAACAAATAAATCTTTAAAAAAAAAAAAGAGTAAACTCTCAACTTTTAGACTACTTCTACTGAGCCTGCAAAATACCAAAGATATAAATATGATTACAGAATAAAATGGAAACATTCAACACTGTCAAAATAAGAACAAAGAAAAAACTAACAGAAGTTGGGGGGAAAGGTAAAATAATCTCTTACAGAGAATCAGAAATACTATCAAAATTTTGTTAGGAAAGCTACAAAAATAATCCATAAAATTTAAAGCCCTCACTTTATAGTAGGAATTCAATAGAAAATGAATGATGACTACACTCCAGAATATGCATTTGCTCAGCATCTCTTTGATAGCTATAAAAATAATGTGGAAAAATATAATTGATGCAACAGCATATTTCAGTTCACAGAGTGTAATACAGTATCTTGTATCTTGTCAATTAGTTAATCAACTAACAAATACAGAATTAAGTAAACATGCGTTCTCTGCCGGGCATTATGCTGTGCACCATAGACAACACATGCAAAGACATAAAGCACACACCTTGACTGAAATTCAGTTCCACTACTACTGAGTACTTATGTGTGGGGTCTTGGATAGGCTTTAGGATAATCAACATAAAGACAAAAGGAAGGGGGCCTCTGAAAGGGTAGCAGACACATAAATTAACTATTTCAACAGAGCTTAGTAGGGACAGAATGAGGGAAAGCTATTTCTTCACAGCAGGAAACAGAACACCACCCAACAATTTGAGAAAGATACAAAGACATTCACAATAAAATGCTAAAATACAAAATAAGTGCCATGCAAGATGAGGACAAGATTAATCATGGCTAAAGCAGTCAAAGAAGACTTCATGAAAAAGAGGACATAAAAACTAAGAACGAATTTTAATTAATGGTAAAATTAAATTAAAAATGCAAAATAAAAGTTCACGGCAAAAGCAAAAAGACAGAGGATGAGGGATGACAAGGGCTCATCTTGGGACATACAAAACAAAAGGAGTATCTCATTAAAATGAAACTCATACTAATCTATTGGCTGTGTGGTAGGAAAGCTACATTTAATGGAGAATTTCCATAACATTCACAGACAAATAGATTGCACAAAGAGTAAATATAAAAAGTTTCTCCATCCTAGCCCCAAGTAGCACAATGTGATTATCCCAAACTAGTTCTTTCTACCAGAGAAGATGACAAAACAGATTTTTCAGGTTTCCAGGAAATTTTAATTAATAGATTTGTCTCAATTACTATATATCAGGCTTTAACAGTCCACACCAACCTTAATGGATAAATGGCTAGTGAATTAGTTTCCTGTTTGCTCTTGATCAATGTCAAAGAAAAATATTCAATTTAAATTATTCCATCTCTGCCCTTAACAATACTAATGTCATATTTCTTAATTCAATATATGTAATTTATCGTTGAAGTCAAAGAAACTTCTTGTGTCATTATTTCCACAGAGTATGAGGAGATAGCATTCAAGGCATGGTCTTGTAAGAACTCACTGATTTTTATGAATCTAAAAAAGTATTTCAATAACCTGCCATTATTTTCCTCCTTAACTTTCTTTCATAAATTTGAGACAGTATGGCAAACACTCATAATTTTATTGAGGTCAATTATGAATAATGATGGCTATCCACAATTAAGATGAAAAAGATTTTTTGGAAACAGTCCTTTTAAGAATTACCACATAGATATTGTAAACAGTGCTGCTATAAACATAGGAGTGCAGGTGCTCTTTGGAATTGATGTTTCTGTGTCCTTTGGATAAATACCTAGGAGTGGAATTGCTGGATCATATGGAAGCTCTATGTTTAGTAGGTCCAGAAATCTCCACACAGCTCTCCATAGTGGTTTGGAAACAACCCAAATGCCCAAAAATAGATGACTGGATCAAGAAGATGTGGTACATATATACCATGGAATATTACTCAGCATTCAAAAAAGATAAACACATGCAATTTGCAGCAACATGGATGGCACTGGAAGGGATCATGCTCAGCGAAATAAGCCAAAAAGAAAAAGAAAAATACGGGATGGTCTCACTCATAGCAGGAATCTAGAAAACTTAAATAAGGGACCAGGAAAATGAATATAAGAAAGTGAAAATCAAAATCAACAAAAAACTATGAACCAGAGACACTTTTTGGGGGGTGGGGGGCGTTAGGGGAAGGATTGGGGTCAGAATGGGGCGTTTGCAATTGTATGGGGGAATATAAAAATAAAATTTAATATTTAAAAAAAAAAAAAAAAAAAAAAAAAAAAAGAATTACCACATAGAGATACAGAATTTTGAAACAGGGGCAACATTTTAGCCAATGTAGTAAGGTGATGATGGCATTTTCCTAATAACAGTGATATATTTTATGAAACGCTTCTGATCACTCTAGAGAAGGCGAAAAGATAGAACAAAAAACGGTTATTTTTTTTGCAAGACACTCGTGAGAAATATTTGAAATGTATTCAATGCTTTCATTTCTATTTCTTTTCTGAAAAATCAGTTAATTTTGTTGACGTTGCCTTTACTGGCACCCGGTAAACGCTTTTGCATTCCCGGGACCCTAGCATTTCAGACCAGAAATTAAAGTTCTTGCCACTCCTTTTAAGAGCACGATGGAGAGAACACGAAAGGAAAGACTAAATCCTGAAATTGCTAACTGTTGTTAGCAGCCGGCACAGATGGTGAAAACACAGAGCCCTTTGTGTCTGGAGAAAGAACGGAGGTCACAGCAAGACGCATTCCCACTAAGGCAGCTAGAGGACACCGGATGCCTTCCTAACTCGAGCCCTTACTAGACCTTTTCAAAGGAAAATTACAGCCTCCATTTCTGGGTAATTCTCTCGGCTCTTGTCCCCCAAGTTGTGGGAGGCCCACAGTGGAGACCTCACACAGCCTGCGAAGTGACCCCGGAACGAAACCCCCGTGTCCCCGGTCACAGGGCACTGGATGCGCGTGGATGCGCACGGCCGCGCGCGCTCAGTGCTCCAGGCGCGGAGCCCCCCGAGGCGCCTGCAGTGAATTTCAGATGCGACACAATAGTCGGGGGAAGGCGCAGACAGCAGGGCGATGTTGCCGGCGGCTTGGCCGCGGCGACAGGGACCTCTGCGCGGCTCGGGGTTCCTCCGCGCGCCCAGAGGCCAGGCCCGCACCCTCGCCCGCCCACGCCCCCCACCCACCCCGGGCTCCTCATCCTAATAGGGATCTTGGCCACGGTAGGGGGGCGACCCTGCCCTGTAAAACCCAAATCAAAAGCAACTTGCCATGGCGGAGGAAAGAGGTGCCCTCGGCTGCTAGAGGGGCCAAATTCTAGCCGCGCACTCAGGGCGAGCGGGAGCCGACCGGCAGCTTTTGGTTTCGTTTTTTCTGTTTCTGCTACTTTGGAGACAATACCAGGACCGCTTCTCCCCGCCCCTCTGTTCTGCAACTTCAGGCTGGGGACTTGGGCCTGGGAAGGCTGCTGCCGGCCAGGCGCCCGCTGTAATTTCACAACTTTTGAAACCACTTCTGGAGGAAGGCCTGGAGGATTCCCGAGCAGAAAGTTGGGGATTCCCTGGCAGCCGCGTCTGTCCTGGTGCTCTGTGGACTCTGGATGTCTTTCCTAACACCTCATTCTCTCCCCAACCATCTTGCCTCCTCTCTGTCACTTCCGCAGCCCAAGGCCAGTATCGGATAGGAATGAAAAACGCACGGATTCTGTTAACAGAGAGATTGCACTGCTGTCTTATCCTTGCCTGGCCCCCTCTCCGACCCTCGAGTCTAGGGGTACCCCAGTCGTAGGGAATCCACATATACAGCTTCAAAGCCAGAGCCAAAAAGAGCATGAAAAAGGGTAAAGTTTACGCAAATATGAAGAAACTCAATACACTCCTAAATAAAGAAATAAAACAGAAGTCATAAATAGTTCCCTTTTATTCATGATTAGAGTCACAAAAATAAAAAGTCATATTGTGAGGAAGCATCAATGTTGCTGCAGTGGTAGACAGGTGCAAACATTTGTAAGGAGTTTGGTCCCTTTTAAAATATAAAGTATAAAAAAATGTAAAACTGTGTGTATCCTTAGACTTAGGGATCTCACTTTCAGAACTTAAGTTTTAGTGCACAAGTGAAATTAAGATACAGTAATCCAGTTGTGCACTGTTTGTAATGCACATGTTTTTTGAACTGGGAGCCACTCAGTTTATCCATGAATAGTGTTCTTTATTATATAGCTGTTGGTGCATCTACAAGGCCCCAGGCCACATGATTTTAAAACAGAATGAGGCAGCTCCTGTTAAAGAAGGATGCTGTTAGATTAATGTGGCTCCAAAGCCAGGGTATCCTACAGAGAAAAATCAAAATCTAAACCTATAAATGTCTCGAGGTTAGGATGATCAGTCAGCCAGCCAGCTGGGCTTTAAGTGATGAGGCAATCCAAAAACTGCCTTTCTTGCTTCCCCATTTCCATGTATCAATCTTGGCCTGACTCTAGTCAGAGGGATGATCTTAACCATTTCCTGTATGATGTTGCCCTATTGCATAGTTTTTATTCAAATAACCTCTTAAAATGTTTAATATGCCCACATTTATCTTCTAACAATCTATATGTAATTCCCTAATGTGTAGGTACAATTGAAGAAGGTTAAAAACTAGGTCCCCACTCCTGACCCAGCAGGCAAGTTTGGGAGGCTGGAATAGATAAGGAAATAGATAAAGCTGCCTTGGGGACAAGGCCATAAAACCTGACCACCATGACCAGAAAAACCAGCCCAATTGTAGGAATGCAGAAGCAGAGGCCAGAGTGTTTCTGAATCAAAGGCCTGTACCAGAGACCACACATCCCAGCAGATAACTGGTGCAAACTGGCACCCCAAATCAGAAAGCCCACGAAAACAAGAGAGCCTCAAATCTTCCTTCCTGGGCAGATTTCTCCCATCTCACCCGCTGCTTCTCTTAGCACTGTATTTCAATAAATCCACCTGTTCTGATCTCCACTCTGTCTCTGCTGAATTCTTTCACTCCTACACACCCCCCTCCTCCAGCCTCACCCTGATCTTCTCCACCTGGACATCTAATTAATTTTCTTTTTCAGATACCCTTTCACAAAATGCTTGCATGGGTGTGTAATAAGCACACATGAGATTTAAAAAGACCAAGCAGAACTCTATTTCCTCCCTTCCTCCCCTTCAGTAAACAGTAGCACCAGCCACCTAAGAGTTCAAATTCAAGAATAATTGCTCATCTTAATTTCTGTTAGCCCATCCCACTAACCACCAATCCAGTATCAGTCTTTCCTTCATCTCCCTTCCACCTTCACCTCTACCACCCAGATCACATGCTCACTCCCTCAATTTCCCCTTCAACCTATTCCAAATACCACGCCCAGGATAATAATTTTAAATATAAATCAAGTTTGATGCCTATTGAAACACTCCATTGTTACACTTTAAATTTTAAATATAAATCAAGTTTGATGCCTATTTAAACACTCCATTGTTATACTTTAAATAAAATTGCATTCCTTATGGGGAGAACAAAACAGCCTTAATCTGCTCTCAAGCCACATCTCCCAGCATTGTCCTCACTCCCTCTGTTTAGACCATCAACAAGCTATCTAGCCTGGAGCTTTTTAACAGCTTTTCCTTCTGGAGGTTTCCTCCCTGATCTTCACTTAACTGGTTTGCCCAAATGACCCCTCCTTAGAGTCTGTTTCTGATCACTCCATCTAAATTTGTCTCTCCCTTCACCCTGTTAATTACTATTGCATCACCCTATTATTCCATCTTCAGAGTCCTCACCCCTTTCTGAAAACACCTTGTTGTCTTCCCCCTTATGATCGACATTGACAGTTTTCAGCAATAGTCCTTGTTCTTCTCCATACAGGCACATGGATAGCCCTTCCTCACCCCCTGCTGTTAGGCACAATGAGATGTGAGAAAACTGATGTTTCATATTTGAGTGGAAACATTTCATTGCCAGCACTGGTCTTCGACTCTTTCTTCTTTGCTCATGAAAACACGTATTGAAGGAAAGTGCAGCACTGACCTACCATATAGAAGACAGTTGCACTAGGAAGTTGCTAAGGATATAACAAAATCTATGTTGTGACAAAACTGATGTCTTAAGTAACTGAATCTGTAACAATAATTTAAAGAGCTTCCATGCTCCTGTTCCACCTAATAAAGGGTGGAGCTGTGCAGCAAGGGGAAGCTAAGGAGGACTTGGGAGAGGACTTGGAAAGAAAACTTGGAGGGAGGCCTGTGGAGCAAAGAAGAAGCCATGCTTACTTCTAGCCTTGGGCTTTCAGGAGACACTAGAAGAGTTGTGGGTGAGGGACTCTTGGGGAACCTGACAATGGCAGTCTTTTTCTTGACTTGTATTTTAATTTGTTCCTTTCATTGCAGACTTACCTGGCCCCTTCTGTGCCTTCTTATGACTCACAGCCAGAAAGTACTTTAGACTTGTGCCTCAGGCCAGCTTTCCAGCCTCTGTGGCCCCACTTTGGGCTAACCCTGATTGGCTGGGCATTTACTCACAAGGGGATGGGTAATACTGGGTGTTACATTGGGAAACTGCTCTCCTTTTTCTCTTCCCTCTCTTTATTGCACACTGATTCTATTAATGTTCTTTTCTATTGAAGGTCTCACTAAGAGTACACTTTGTCTTTATGTGGCAGATGGTAGAACCTATTCAGAGCATGCAAAGTTTGGGGGACCTGGGTTGCCCTTCATTCTGCCCACTAACAGAATTTTTACTAACATCACCCAATATGCCTTGACTACTATGTCCCAGTAGAATAAAGGAAAACTATGAAAATATTTGTAAATCCCCTGTCTAATAAAGGATTTGTGTCCAGAACACACAACTACAACTCAAAATTTAAAAAAAAAGGTTAAAATGGACAAAAATGTGAGTACACTCTTTACCAATGGATAATATGCACGTGAAAATATATTCAACATCATTAGTTATTAAAGTGATGCAAGTTAAAAATCACAACGAGATTCTGTAACAGGGTGGTCCCCAGGAAAGGGGGAGGTTCCAGGTTCCCTGCCCCACCCAAGGAAGGGTGGAGCTGAGCAGGAAGAAGAGAAGCTGCAGAAGAGACTGAGGAAGGAAGCAGGATGGAGCCAGGAGACCTGGAAGAGGCGCATGGAGCCTAGAGACATGTGAAGAAACTGCGCTTGTCTTTTGGTCGTGGACTGGGTGACACAGATGTGGGTGAGACCCGTGGGGAGGTGACCATGGCAGCTTTTATCTTGATGTTGATTTTGCTCTTTTCCTTCCGGGCTTGTCTGGTTGTTTGTGACCCTTTTCTGTGGGTCCCCACTGGAAGATGTTTTAGACTTGTGGCAGGCTTTGGGGCCTTGCTCTGGGCCGACCCCATATGGATGGAGTTTTACCCACGAGGGGATGGGTAACTTTGGGTGCTTCATTTAGAAACTAGACTCTTTGCCTTACCTGTATTGTTTCCTAGTTTTTATTAAAGATCCTTCCCATTAAAGTGTCATATGTTTTGTGTTGATGCGGCGGATGGCAGAACCCATGTAGAATAGGCAGGTTTGTGGGGTTTGGGCTGACCCTCTCCCTGTCCTATAACAATTCCACTCCACATTCACTAAAATGGCAATAATCCAAAAGACAAATAATAGCAAATGTCAAGAATGTGGCAAAATAGGAATAGGCATATGTTTCTGGTGGGGATATAAAAATATTATAGTTACCCTTTAAAGCAGTTTAGAAGTTTCTGAAAAAATTAAATACAAATTTACCATATGGCAAGAAATTTCTCTTCTACCTGTTGTGCCCAAGATCAGCAGACTCGGCGAGTATAGCCTCCAAGAATCCAAAGATAGCCAATGCAAACACAAAAGGGAGTTTATTACAGACTCAAGTCCGGGCTTATGGCACCTACCAGCGCAGTGGCAGATATCAAGAGCCCGGAACAGAGGAAGCAGGGGTCTTAAATAGGGTCACAAGCAGGCGCGAATTTTGAAACAAGCTGGCAATTACTCATTGGCTACTACAAAGGCATTTTGGTGCTCTCGGTTACAGTTTCAAACTGATTGAACAGTTAGAGATGCTGTCCCATTTATGGATAATACTGCCCTCATTGGCAGCTGGGGTGGTCTGCTTTTTCATCACCAAGTAGAGTGAGGGTTGTGACTGTTGAAACTATCTCCGGAATGCGGCTGTACAAGGACTAACATATCAAGGTGGAGGATATACAAAATGGTGAAACCTCTCCTAAGCTTGGTTTCACACTACCCAAGAGAAATGAAAACAAAGACTTAATGCAAATGTTCATAACAACATTTTACATATAGCCAATTCACATGAGTGAATTGGTTATCAGCTGCATAAAAGATAAAAAAAAATGTAGTGTGTTTATTATATTGTACACACACACTTCATCATATACAATATGTATTATATACAATATAATATCATGTATTATATGTATGCCTATACAATATAATACTACTCAGCAATGAAAAGGAGTGAAATACCAATACATAATTAAGAATTAGGCTCAAAAATATCATGCTAAAAGAAACTAAACACAAAAGGCACATATTGCATGATTCCATTTGACCAGAAGAGACAAAAACATAAAAAGAGGAACTAGAAGTAGTCCCTGAAGCTGGCGGAAGATCAGAGATTAACTGTATGCACATTATCACCTAATCCAAATTGAGATCTTCTCTAAAACAATCTAGGATGAGAGTCAGGAATGTGGCCTACACAGATGTGTCACCAAACCCGAATCTGACCTAGAGTGACCATTGAACTTGTATATGCTTTTAACCTAAAAATTCAGGAGACCATTAAAAAGGTAAAGTATATTTATTTGGGATCAAAGAATTATAATTCAGGCTACATAGATTCAAGTAGAAATCTATAACATGCTCCAAGGAGGGGCAAAAGACAAGGGGGGTAGTGGAAGAAAAGAGATGAGGTAAGTGATTTTAAAAAATGTCAAAATTAGGGGCCTCCCCGGTGGCGCAGCGGTTGAGCGCTGGGTTGCGAAGCTGCCCGCAGCCTCTGCGGGGCCGGTTCGATCCCCGGCTGCTCCCCGGCCACCGGGTGAGGGTCCCACATGGCGCGCAGACCTCTCCTGCCGCCCACTGCTCCCCTCAGCAGTGTACATCGGTTCTTCCGCCTGCTCTGCTCCCCGCTCTGGCTCTGGTGAATTCTCTCACCCTCCCGCGCTTCTGACTGTACCCAGTGCATGTATAAACAAAAAAACAAACAAACAAATAAATAAATAAATAAATAACATGCCTCTATAAAAAAAAAAAAAATCTTTAAAAAAAAAAAAATGTCAAAATTAGGGCCTCCCTGGTGGCTCAAGGGGTTAAGACACAACCTATGAGGCTGTCTGTAGCCACTGCAGCACGAGTTCGATCCCCTGCCAGGGAGCTACTCACATAGCGCAGCAGACCTCTCCTGACTCACCCGCTGCTCCCCTCAGCAGTGTATTACGGTCATTCCACCTTTCTGTTCCCCACTCTGTCTCTGGTGAATCCTCTCATCCCCCACCCCCACCTCTGGCCTGTGCCCCAGTTCTTGTACGCATAAATAAATCTTAAAAAAAAGTAAAAATTAGTGAGACTCCATGGTGGCACAAGGGGTTAAGTCTCAGCACTATGAAGTTATTGGCAGCCACTGTAGCACAAGTTTGATCCCCCGCCAGGGAACTGACCCATATGGTGCAGCAGACCTCTCCTGTCTCACCTGCTGCTCCCCTCAGCAGTGCATTTCAGTCAATCTGCCTGTTCTGTTCCCCACTCTGTCTCTGATGAATCCTCTTTCCCCCCACACCTCTGGTCTGTACCCCAGTTCTTGTATGCATAAATAAATACATCTTTTTTTAAAAAAAAGGCAAAGAAGCAGACTTTTAGTGTGCTCAAAGATCTTTGTCCAGGGCACATCTTGACAAAGACAAAAGAGGTATGATTTGGGCAGATCCTGGTGGGCTCAGAGAGGTGAAGAGATCTGAAATTCCCCATGCATTATCCAACTAGAAAATCTACTCCAGGTCAAAATAGCAGCTGCCATCATCCTTGAAGAGACTGCATGCCAAAGTGTTAGGGGGAAAGGACACCAGGAGCAGCCTCTCCACATGACTCCTCTCCTCCCTGGCTCACCTCAATATATTTACTTTCTCCTTTCTCCTTTCCAGCCACATGGTTTAGGAAGTCCAGTTCACGCACACTGGGAGTTCTATTCCCAAAAATCTGAGATGTTGGTGGCATAGGGTGGGGTCCTGTTCCTTCAGTTTATTTACTGGTTCAGAGTTCATTCTTCTGACAGTATTATGTGCCAGACAGCAGATGAAGTTCTCAGCTATTAAATAAGACTCAGAGTCTAAATGAATTTGCAGCAGAGGGAGGGTGGGAGAGTGCCATGGAGTGCAGCTCTGCCTTTCACTCTCCAGCCCAAGCTTCTACTAAAGATATGAACAAAGGAACATGAAAATAGCACGGAATTGTGTTTATGCTTATACAAATGAATAAGTTACTGCTGGAACAAGTTTTTCTAGTTAGTAGAGAACAAGGCAGTATATCCTCAGAGAACAGGAGTCAATTCTGGGAAGAAGTTGTTTGCAGAAATTCTAACCTCCTGGAACTCCATATGCAAAGTAAACAGATACTCTCAGAGAACTCCAGCTCCCTTTAGGGTAGCACACTTTCAACAATTACCTAGAGTTCATTTACTTTGAGTTTGATGCTGTGGTTGGAGGGAATCTTTTGCTTTTCACCTTTGGGGACAGGTGTGAATGTATTTCATGTGTAAAGAAGAATGATCCAAATTTTGATTAGTAGTAGGACAGGATGGACTATTATTATCATTCTGGTTTAACTTTATCTGGTTCTGCTCATTTTTACAAGAAAAAATGTTCTAGTCCTCTTATGTTTCACTGAGGCCAGGTGACTATTTCTGGCTAATGAGATGTGAGAAGAAATGGCAAGAGTCATGGTGTTTAATTGCTAGTGCAAGACACCGCAGATTTCACTATCCTCACCTCCATAAATTGGAAGCCTCTCTCCATGGGGACTAAGTGATTAGGACAGAGTCCTACAAACCTGGGTTGAACATTCAGCATGAATGAAAACTAAACTTTCATTTCATTAGAGCTTTAGATTTAGGAGTTTGTTTGTCACTATAGCATTACTTATTTTGTCTTAACTGAAAAAATCTTTACAAACAGCAAGGGGAACTTGTAATTTCACATACTTATCTTTCCTTATTCATCATATAGACAATGTCTTTGAACACTTAATTAATGTAGCTATTCCATCCAAGACACACACTAACCTCCTCAATTAATATTCAATATGTTAATAGTATATTATGCCTTGGTAAATTTTCTAAGACAACACTCCTATAATATTTCTAAAATTCGAGAAATGAACGAGAGACCAAGATTTTTCACACAAGGGTGGAATGGTAAAAAGAATCAAAAAGTACAATTTTCTTAGATCACAAATAGTTATCAAAAACCATTGTGAAAATTTAGAACTGAATGAAATTATCTATATTATTACCTAAAGAAGTATCCCAAAAGAAACAAATAATGACTTTTCAAATTTTGTCCTAAATATCAGAAAAAAAAATTTACTGGCAGTCTGCCACAGCCTACTCATGATAACTTCTGTGCTGGTAAGACTGCACCAGTAGAAATTAAGTTTCTTTTGATGTCACTCACAGAGGAAATATAAAGAAACAAAAGAAAGGAACAGACAAAACTAAACCAGAATAAGTCCTGACACTGTAACAGGGTGGTCCCCAGGAAAGGGGGAGGTTCCAGGTTCCCTGCCCCACCCGAATAGAGGGTGGAGCCGAGCAGGGAAAGAAGAAGCTGCAGAGGAGACTGAGGAAGGAAGGAAGCAGGATGGAGCCAGAAGGAGACCTGGAGGAGGCACATGGACCTGAGAGACACGTGAAGAAACTGCGCTTGCCTTTTGGTCGTGGACTGGGTGACACAGATGTGGGTGAGAGACCCGTGGGGAGGTGACAATGGCGGTTTTTGTCGTGATTTTGATTTGCTCTTTTCCTTCCAGACTTGTCTGGTTGTTACTGATCCTTTTCTGTGGGTCCCCACTGGAAGATGCTTTAGACTTGTGGCAGGCTTTTGTTCTGGGCCAGTCCTGTCTGAGTGGACTTTTGCCCACAAGGGGACAGGTAACTTTGGGTACTTGATTTAGAAACTATATTCTTTGCTTTCTTGTATTGTTTCCTAATTGTAGTAAAGTTCCTTCCCATTAAAGTCGCATATGTTTTGTATTGATGTGGCGGGTGGCAGAACCCATTTAGATTAGGCAGGTTTGCAGGGTCTGGGCTGCCCCTCTCCCTGCCCTGTAACAAAACTAACTGTAGAATCGAGGCTACCAGAGGCAGAGGGTGGAGGTGGAGAGAGGGGGTAAAAGGGGGAGAGGGGTCCTATGGCCTGTGATGGAGGATTATGGATGCTTTGACACTGGGTATGGTGTGGTAACATACTGTTGAAGAGAGCTGTGAACCTATCCCCTAAGTCAAATACAGTGATGTAAACCAATGTTATAGCAATTTAAAAAAAAAAGGGGGGGCCTTCCCAGTGGCGCAGGGATTAAGACACAACCTATGAAGCAATCTGCAGCCACTGCATCACAAGTTCGATTCCCGGACGGCCAGGGAGAAACCCACATGGTGGGACAGACCCAGACCTCTCCTGTCTCGCCCACTGCTCCCCTCAGGAGTGTACTTCAGTCCGTCTGCCTGTTCTGTTACTTGCTCTGTCTCGGGTGAATCCTCTCACCTCCCGCATCTCTGGCCTGTACCCCAATTCTTGTATAAAAATAAATAAATCTTTTTAAAAAATTACAATTAAAATAAAGTTCTTTAAAATTTTCTTATTATTTTGGGGAGGTAAAATTGCCTATTATTTCAAAAGAAAAACTGAACCAGGAGAGATTTTTTTCCAAAATGGTGAATATGAAGATTTATTATAAACTTTCCAGTTTTAATGCTCTCTCTCATTCCAAAGACAAGTGTAAGAATGAGTATTTCTGATGACAGCATAACTATTTTAAAATCTAAAAATAAAATATCAGAAACAAAAAGCCAAGCTTTTCTTTTCTTTTTAGCTTTTCTCTTTGTGTTTTAGTAGACTTAAATCGTTGGATAGGTTTAAATTTAGAACTTTTACTGAAAGCATATCATGTCTATCAGTATTCTAATATGAATTTAAACCTGCTATTGGCTCTTCATGAAACATACCATATTAAGATAAAAGCTGTCCAAATGATCTTTACCAAAGCAAAATTTACCCTCTCTGAATAGGAACCTTGAATTTTTTCATTTAAAATTTGTGCACATTAAAAAGATGGTGGAAATGCCAATATAATGGGGTCTTGCTCTAACTAAATGTTAAGTCCCTAAGGATAGGAACATGTATTTAATCTTCTGGCATTCCCAGCAGCCAGCATGGTAAGTGATGAGCTACTAGCTTTGTATTTATTCTATCACTAGTTCTCTATTACAAGACTTTTAATTCCTTAAAATAATTCTTTAAATGAAGAGTGAAAAAAAAGAAAGAAAATTCTTTCTTTACAAGTGAAAAAAAAGTTCAAGAAAAAGACCACAGTCAGCTCTAAGAAATACCGGAAAATGATCCTTGAAAATGCAGAAAAATTTACAGTAATCAGGAACTGCTGAATTTAACACTTCTTTTGGAAAATGTTGAATCAGGTCTGCATGCTGGTAGGTCTGGGGCCAAATTTGAGTTAGCCCATATGCCCATGACAGAATGTGCCTATTCAACAGTAGGGTGATTGGATCACTTAAGATTGATTTCAACATACATGGCACAAACACTTATTGCATCTGTAAACATGCAGTACAGTTTGAAACAAAGAAGAATTAAAAAACACAGAAACACATTTTTTATCCAAGAATAAATGAATGTTAAAGAATTAAAGTTTTCATTTTTAAGGAAAAGGATGATAATTTTGTCCAATACTGGCAGTGATTTGGGCTCTAAAGCTCTAATTTTCATGTAATTCCATGAGGTTATTATTCAAAGTATGCTATGCAAGGTTGACCTAGAGAACACTTGACAACATCTACTTCTCCCCCTCCATTCTTTTCCCTTTGAAAATGAATGTTGACTAAATCCTCCACAAGTTCTTCATCCATCTTTTGAAGGTTTTCCATTCCGGTCAGAAGCACCGTTCGCTTAGATATTCCTGAAAACACCTAATGAGGAAAACAAAAAGACTGTTTTCAAGAGATTTAAACTGTAAACATATTTTTAATTTATGCTTAATATTTTGAACTTTCTCTTAGATGAGGTAAGGAAACTCGAAGATTTTTCAAGCAAGGGAAGATCAGAATCAGGTCTGAGTTATAGAAGAATAATTCTGGTGGCTATATTATATAGTGAATAGAGAAAAAGTGGGCAACTCGAGGGACAGAAAGATCAGTTGAAGAGGTAGTCAGAGTTGAAACTGACAGGATTTAGTGGCTAGATGAATGTTGAGGGTGAAACAAAATGAAGAGTTCTCATTTCAGGATGGTAGACTAGGTAGAGCCATGTAATACCTGAGAAGGAAAAGAAAAAGGAGCAAATCTGGAGTAAAAATAATGGGTTCAGAGAAAATGAGGAGGATGAATCATTTTTAATATTTAATGATTTTAGACACATGAGAGAAATATAGCTATATCTCTGTGCCATTACCTAAGAAATTTCAATTTTAAAAATTATGCAGTAAGTTAAATAAGACAGTTTTGCATTAAAGTCACCTTTAAAAAGATAAACTCATTCTCTACCAAGCAGATATGAACAACAATTTTGATATCCCTCACTGTAAGATTCAAACAATAACAGAGTCCCAACTTTACATTTTGTGAGGCAGGAGTAAGCAGTAAGTTCCCAAAATGGGAGAAAAGAGGTAACTTTACCTGAAACTTTTTCACGTGTGTTTCTACGTATGGCGAAACTGTAACTCTGTGGCAGTTTTGATTTATATAAAGAGGATAGTCTTTCTTTTCCAAAATCTTGTCAGCCACTAGAAATAAATTTTTTGCTTTTTAATATCATAAACATTTTTAACTAAAGTTAAAATGTCTTTCATACAGAATAAAATCACGATAAACAGTGAATTGAGTGATTACTTTTTAAAAGAATTTCTATGGTCCACTTTATTTTTAGCAGCATTTTTTTTTTTTAAGAGGAGAAAAGTAATGTCAAGATTGTATAAAGTTTAACAGAAAGAGTTTTTAATAATAACCAATAACCTGTTTTTCTCCTCTTATCAGTCCACCTTGAATTGGTAATACAATACAGTGGTTAAGAGTGCAGGCCCTTGCTCCTGAAGGTATGGAGACTTTGGAACGCTGGTGCATTGCTGGTATGAATAAAAAGTGGTGCATGACTATGGAAAACAATATGGCAGTTCCTCAAAGCAATGAACATAGAACTACCATATGACCTAGCAATCCTACCCCTAGATATATACCCAAAAGAATTAAAGTAGGGGCTCAAAGAGACACTCAAACACAATAGCCAAATAATGGAAGCCACCCAATGCCCATCAACAAATGAATGAACAGAATGTGGTCTATACATACAATGGAATATTATTCAGCCTTAACAAAGAATGACATTCTCAAACAGACTACAACATGGATGAATCTTGGAAGTACTATGATATGTGAAATAAGGCAGACATAAAAAGGACAAATATTCTGTAATTCCGATTATGTAAGCTATCTAAAATAGGCAAATTGGGACCTCCCTGCTACTGGCAGCCATAGCCACTGCAGCAGGAGTTCAGTGCCTGGCCAGCCAGGGAGGTGACCCATATGGTGTAGCAGACCTCTCCTGTCTTGCTTGCTGCTCTCCACAGCTGTGTATTTCAGTCAATCTACCTGTTCTGCTCCCCACTCTCTCTGATGAATCCTCTCACCTCCCCCACCTCTGGCTTATACCCCAGTTCTTGTATGCATAAATAAATAAATCCTTAAAAAAATTGAATAGGCAAATCCATATAGGGAGAATATAGAATAGTGGTTACCAAGGATTGGGAGGAAGAAGAATGGGGAATTATTGTTCAGTGGGTATGCAGTTTCACTTTGGGATGATGAAAAAATTCTGGAAATATATAGTGGTGATAGTTCCACAAAATTGTATTTTTTTTTATTTATGTACACAAGAGCTGGGGTGTAGGCCAGAAGTGCAGGGGAGTGTGGTAAGAGAATTCACCAGAGACAGACTGAGGAGCAGAACAGTCAGTTGTACTGAAATACACTGCTGAGGGGAGCAGCAGGCGATGCAGAAGAGGTCTGCTGCGCCATATGGGTCAGCTCCCTGGCCGGGAATCAAACTCGTGCTGCATAGGCTGTGGATAGTTCGTTGTGCTGAGATTTAACCCCTTGTGCCATTATGGAGGCCCTGCACCAAACTATAAATACACTTCATGCCACTGAATTGTACACATTTAAAAAGTGGTTAAAATTATAAATTTTGTGTTATCTATATTTTACCACAATAAAAAGGAAAGTTTGAAAAAAGGGAAGTGTAGGGTGAGTCAAATGGCTCTGCCCCTGTCCAGCTGCTCATTAGCTACCTGACCTTAGCTATGTTGTTTAACTGAGGCCTCAGTTTCCTTTCCTGAAAAATATACAGAATCACAGTACTTACCTCAGATGTTGTTGTGAAAGGTCAGTAAAACACAGCTTGCAAGGCGTGTTTCTGGCATATCTATCTTACCTTCAGATACTTTCATATATTTCAGATGTTAACTATTGTAAGTTTCAGAACTATTTTTCCTTCTTGCTGCATATAAGCCAGTGTTATCTCTCACTATAGAGTATTAACTTGCATTCTGGTTTATAAAATAAGTCTCCCATGGCTTTTTAAGTACAAGAGCTGGACCAAATAATGTCAAAAAATAGAATATATGAAATTAGAAATTAAAATCTTTGACTATGGAAATTTCCAGCAAATTGCTGTACAGTTCTGAAACAATATATAAGGCAGCCTCAAAAATCTGTTCCCTTTGGGTCTCTAACTATAATCTGTTGGGAGCCTGCTGCCCTAAAGGGAGCTGGAGTTTTGGGAGAACACCTGTTTACTTTGCATATGGAGTTCCAGGACTTCGTTAGAAGTTCTGCAAGCAGAACTTCCCAAAATTGACTCCTGTTCTTTGAGGAGATACTGGCTTGTGCGCAAGTTCCCTACTAACCAGGAAAACCTGTTTCCAGCAGTAACTTATTAATCCGTATAAGCAAGAACACAATTGCCAACTATTTACTTGTTCCTTTGTTCATATCTGTAATAAAAGCTTGTATTGGAAGAGTGAAAGGCAGAGCTGCTCTCGATGGCTCTCCCCGGCATCCCCCCACTGCAAATTCAGTTAGGCTCTAAATCTTCGTTAATGGCAGAGAACTTCCTCGGCTGTACTGTGCAAGGCAATAACCCACACTGCCAGGATGCCCTAAACATTATCCAACAGCCCAAGTCAAAAAAGCATATTGGTGTGGGCTTCCCAGGCGGCGCAGCGGTTGAGCACTGGGTTGCGAAGCTGCCCGCAGCCTCCGCGGCGCCGGTTCGATCCCCGGCTGCTCCCTGGCCACTGGAGGAGGGTCCCACATGGCGCGCAGACCTCTCCTGCCGCCCGCTGCTCCCCTCAGCAGTGTACTTCGGTCCTTCTGCCTGCTCTGCTCCCTGCTCTGGCTCTGGTGAATTCTCTCACCCTCCCGCGCTTCTGAATGTACCCAGTGCTTGTATAAACAAAACAAACAAGCAAATAAATAAATAAATAAACATGCCTTTAAAAAAAAAAAAAAAAAGCATATTGGTGTGTTTGTGTGTGCCCAGAGAAAGATCTGGAAAGAGATTCAACAAACTACATATAATAGGAAAAAGGGAAATTTAAGGAAATGTTTCACCTTTTACTAAATATATGTTTTTCAATTCCAACAAATTCTTTTAAAAGCAAATATTAATATTACTGTTTCATGAAGAAAGCTGTCAATGTTTTTTAATTGAACATTGTGGTTAAATTTCTATTATTTCTACAAGCCCAAGAGAATTAACTAGAGCAAGAGACTTTACATTGAGAACCCATGGAATATATAAACAAAAATAGCTGTTGAATCTTCTGTTTTTTAATCATAAGAATGTAAAACTCCATAAAATGATTTGATAAAAGTCCAACAGAAATAACTAAAAAAATCAGACATCTAGAAATTCTTTCTAGTCATCCCAATTGTGTTCCCTGGAATCAATTCCTCTTCCTAAGAGAAATTTTTCAAGTGAAATAGGTGAGATGGAAGAGAAAATTATATGTAACAGATACACACACACATACATATATGTTATATATATACACATACACATATATATGTGTTATATATATATAATATATAACAGATATGTACCCACTGTGTGAGCTTGGGTAAGTTTCCCCAGGGCTCAGTTTTCTCATCAATAAAATGAATATAACATCTACCTCAAAAGTTGTGCTGTGATCAGAGGAGATACATGTACAGGATATATATCTACAGGAGATACATGTACACCTCCATTCTGGCAGGTGGTGAGAATATATTAAGATTTATGTACCTGTTGCTCTTAATAGTCTCATTTTCAGTATCATTCACAGAAATCTTTTTCAGGACTCTGTCACTTTATAAGATTTTTAAAAATCTCCCCAATTAATATGCTAATACATTCCCAAATAAACGATGTAGAAAAGGAATTTTTTTGACAGAAATGGAAGAATATAATTTAATAGTAGACTATTTTTTAATTTTCTAAGTGTGGGAATACCTCCAATTTCCACAAATGTGATGACAGCACGCCGAGACTGCCTATCATACTCCACACATGCCACCTCTCCACCTCCATTCTGGGACTTATAAAAGCTCAGTTCTAGCTTGTCTCTCATCTGATTTTCAGGCAAGTCATCTGGAATTTCAGTAACAATGATCTTCATTTTAGAAACTTCCACATTAACCTGTAAAATTGTGCAATTTTCAAAAATATGAATGAGAAAAGTGTCTATGTTTAGCTGAATTCTAAAAAGCTTTCATCACCATGGTACCTGAAATCTGACTCCTGAGTTTAAGGGAACCGGACTGGCCATCACTTTCACATCCACATCTTCTACCAGTATGTGATGTTCCCCCTGCCTGATCACGTTTTGGGCAACTGAAAAATAAAATTTTTACACTTTTAAGAACAAATTATCTTCTATATTTCTAATTTCTTTAATTAGAAAGGATCAATTTTTTTAATTTTTTGGGATTCCTAAGTGATAATGGCCTTGCCACCATAGTAAGATATAATAATATCAAAACTTATCAGCAAAAATTACAATGAAGAAATTCTCAACAAACTCTATACTCAACTTTTTAGACAAATCTGATGTTTCAAGTTTATAAAACCTGAAGTTGTAAAATATTTTATTTTATTATTTTTAAAGATTTATTTATTTATGTGTAGAAGAACTGGTATGTAGCCCAGAGGTGAGGGGGCATGAGAGGATTCAAGAGAGAGAGAGTGGGGATCAGAACAGGCAGACCTACTAAAATACACTGCTGAGGGGAGCAGTGGGCAAGACAGGAGAGGTCAGCTGTGCCATATGTGGGTTAGCTCCTTGGCTGGGATCGAACCCAGACCTTAGTGGTGATAGTGCTGAGACTTAACCCCTAGGCCACCAGGGAGGTGCCTGTATAATATTTTAGTACACACCTTTCTTTTTCATTGTTGAATTAGCAGAGAATTCCCCTAGTAGCTTAATGCACAGCCAGAAATTCCTTCTATGTTGAGTAAGCTGGGAAAGCATCTTTAGGTCAGTGTCATTCTGACAATCTTATTTATCGTTTGTCACCGCTCCTCAGTATGTTACAAGCACCACATTTTTCTGTTTTTCCCAAGGATTACATATTAAGTACCACAGAAGCTTGAATATAAAAAATGAGCCTGCTATTTTTTCCCTGGCCATATTTAACAAGAAATCCTACTTGGGCTAAAATGTTCATTAATTAATTAATTAATCATTAATTAAAAAGTAAATAGTCTCATTATCCAGTGACAAAGCTAGCAAGTCTAATTTATTCATGCAAATGGGAGAGCAAGGATATAACTATACCAAAAATTATTAGAACCTCAAACATCAACTGTATGTCAGTTTAAAACACATGTGAGGGCCTCCCTGGTGGCGCAAGGGTTAAGATTCAACCTATGAAGCTATCCGCAGCCACTGCAGCACAAGTTCGATCCCCAGCCAGGGAAATACCCATATGGCGCAGCAGACCTCTCCTGAGTTGCCCGCCTGCTACTCCCTCTCAGCAGTGTATTTCAGCCTATTCTGTTCCCCACTCTGACTCTGGTGAATCCTCTCACCCTCCACACCTCTGGCCTGTACCCCTGTTCTTTTTTTTTTTTTTTTTACCCCTGTTCTTGTATACATAAATATATAAATCTTTGGAAAAATAAATAAATAAATAAATAAAACACATGTGAGTGTGTTTTTACTTTTAATTGTGTGACATTAGAGTTTATAATACTTAAATTGTTAACATTAAGAGTGGCTTACTCTACTTTGTTATGAAGCTAAGCGATGCTCACTTCTGGCTTTATAAACCTCACACGTGTTTATGACTATCTGATAGCACTTCACAGCTGGAGGAAGAGAGAAAGAGGACGAGAAGGCAGGGCGTTGTCATGTGGGAATTCAGACTCATTGTACAACATTATGACTGGAAAACTTGCCTTATGACTTTTTTGTTGTTTATGACAACAGACAACAACAACAGAAATCATCAATGAAGTAATAGTCAGCTGTTGCTCCTTCCCTCTCTCTCCCCCCAAGCCTTTCAACATTAAAAGCCTTTCTTTTAGTGTTGATTTTCAGTTTATAGTGATGGACTGGATATCCAACATCTGGTGATCTGACACAGCAGAGAGGGACCAAGTATGTTTCATCTTTCCTAACTCTGGTCATCCAAAGCCCACTCCTATTTAGTTGTGTTTAAATCCAGAGTTGTCGGGTCTCCCTTGGTGGCGCAGCAGTTGAGCGCTGGGCTGCGAAGCTGCCTGCAGCCTCTGCAGTGTCGGTTCGATCCCCAACTGCTCCCCGGCCACCAGAGGAGGGTCCCACATGGTGCGCAGACCTCTCCTGCCGCCCGCTGCTCCCCTCAGCAGTGTACTTCTTCGTCAGTCTGCCTGTTCTGCTCCCCATTCTGGCTCTGGTGAATTCTCTCACCCTCCCACGCTTCTGACTGTACCCAGTGCTTGTATAAATAAATAAATTAATTTAAAAAAAATAATAAATCCAGAGTTGTCCTAAGAGAACTGGACCTCAGAGCTAGCGAATGGGTGAAGCAGTGACACAGATATTTCTTAAGAGAATCCTATTCAAAGTTCCCAGGTAATTTCTATACAGAAACCCTACCATGTACTCCTGCTCTCAGCTATATTCCAGTTGCCACTGTCAACTGCCAATGTGGCTCTTGGTCTCCTCCTCCAACCTCAGCTGCAGGGGTGGACCAGGGGTGAATGAAGTTTATACATACAATGACCTACTAGAAAGCCTTTCTTTTAATGTCGATTTTCAGTGTATAGTGAATGGCTGCGTGTCAGGAGACATGAGTCATAATCACAGATTCTCAGATCACTGGAAGGTGAAGCCCATCTGGTCTCACCCCATAAAAAGACAAAAACAAGAATGAAGACTCAAGGGTGGCCTGCTTGGAAGAACGTTGGCTTAAAAAAAAGTACATGAATACCCAGGATTTGGCTCTCAACAAAGCAATTTATTAACTACACAAACCCTGGGCAAGTTCCTTATCTTCTTTAAGCTTCTGTTTCTTTATCTGGAAGATTTCTAATGTGTAGCAATAACAACAGCTAATATTTATTAAGTGTTTATTATGTATTAGGCACTGTGTTAACTATTTTTCTTTTAAAGATTTATTTATTTATTTATACAAGCACTGGTACTGGACATCACCCCGTCAGAAGCGCGGGAGGGTAACAGAATTCACCAGAGTCAGAGCAGGGAAAAGAACAGGCTGACTGAGGAAATACACTGCTGAGGGAAGCAGCGGGCGAGTCAGGAGAGGTCTGCGCACCATGTGGGACCCTCACCAGCGGCCAGGGATCGAACTGGCACTGCAGAGGCTGCCGGCAGCCTCACAGCCCAGTGCTCAACCGCTGCGCCACCAGGGAGGCCCCCTGTGTTAACTATTTTATTAACATTTTTCCTTTAAAACTTCATAGCATCTTCCTGAGGCAGGTACTACCACAAAGCCTATCATAAAAATCTGAGATGTTTCAAGAACCCAACCAACCCAAGTCACATTTCTAGGAAAGAGAAAAGCCCCTTCTCAGTAAGGCACCCCCAGCTCTGAAGAGGATACCATACCATAGCAGATTTAGCAAACATCAGACCCTATTCCAAATCTCTGACTTCTAGTCTATGTCCATTTACAGATTGTGTGGCCTTAGACAAATCAGTTAAACACCTAGAAATCCCTTTTCTTGGTTATACAAAATAAACAGCAACTGTCTTATCCTGTTCCTTTCATATAGTTCTATGAGTATAAAATGAAGAAATGCCCAGGAGCACTCTCTGAGAATTGTTTTTTTTTTAAGATTTATTTATTTATGCATACAAGAGCTGGGGTGTGGGCCAGAGGTGTGGGGAGGTGAGAGGATTCACCAGAATCAGAGTGGGGAAACAGAACAGGCAGACTGGCTAAAATACACTGTTGAAGGGAACAGCGGGCGAGACAGGAAAGGTCTGCTGCACCAGGTGGGTAGCTCCCTAGCTGGGGATTGAACTCATGCTGCAGTGGCTGCTGATAGGTTCATAGTGCTGAGACTTAACCCCCTGTGGCACCAGGGAGAGCCAAGAAGTCTCTGAGAATTGTGCGTAGCTCTACAACCTTCAAACATGATTATCAGTGCCATCATTTGGAGGGAGCACATGGAGAACAAAGATGGTGGTACTGGACATCACAACAGTTGGCTTGAGTCTTAGAGTTAGTACTTTCAGAATAAGTAATCGTATTCAAGTTGCTTAACATTTCAGAGTCACTTTCCTTATCTGTAAAATGGGACTAATCATACCCACCTCAGGTTGTTAGTAAAAAGATGAGATGAAATGATACATATAGAAAACATAAAGAGCCAAATATCTATGAAAGGTTTTTGAAAACCCAAGTACTTTCCAAAAGTAACACAGTTAAATTTCTAAAAGTCAGTCATACCTTCCTCTTTTTCAAAGGTGACAAGAGCTTGTCCTTGTTGTAGCTCATAAGGAACTTTCGAGCTCACTTGAAAAGAGCAGGAGACATTGAAAAACTGGCCATCATTCTCAGGATACTCTGTAGTTGTGAATTTCAAATTCATTTCAGGAATATCCTCTTTAATCTAATTCAAACAGAATTGTTTGATTATTATCAAGACAAGAAATAACTGGTCACCCAATGATAATATGATTTCATCATTCAATAATTCATTCTCCACTGATTTTAGAACTGAATCTGGTCTTATTTAATATTTTTAGCATTGCCTCTTCCCTGGTAAGTACTCAGCAATATAATCAAATGTTGATCCCTTAATATTATTTCACAGACAAAATCATAAGCATATAATCTCTCACTTTGTCTAATCAATGTTTTAATTAGTGAATATTGTATGATGTTTGATTCTAAAGCTTACATCATTCCTGTAAGTAAGCACCTTTTAAATAACTATGCCAGTAATAGTCTATCTCACGTGGGAGTCATTAAACAATATACTGTCACTACAAAGAGGCATGAAATAGAATTGGATATATACAATGATTATTTGATAGTAGACCCAGATAATTTCATACAAAAAGAAAGATTTCACATTATATAATTTAAAATTTATTAATTAGAAATTTTCCCTTCCCAGCCAAGCACCTGCCCAAGAACTTTTTAGCCATGACCACAACTAAGGGTTATAAAAAAATTGAAGGGACACTATTGACATGATTTTTAATCTGGAAGATAAAAGTTCAGTGGTTATACCTAGCTGCTTAAAATCATGCATATCTGCACACAAATAAACAAACTGGGTATTTGCATTTCTAAAGTTTTCGTGGTTATTTTACATGCTGCAATAAAGTAAAAATAAAATAAAACCCCATGGCAAAGGAATTTGAAATATTCAATGAATCATTTGATTCTAATTTTATATTTATTTTCTATTTTTACATGTAACTTCAGTAGAATTTCTGACTATCATAAATCCAATTTCAGAACAATCTGCAATGTCTGAGGAAAGGCAGTGTTTGCCAATAATGTGAAAGTATCTAGTAAATATTGAGAAATCAAGAGCTTTATGGAGTGGATGTGAGAGTATCTGATTCTAGTCCTGAGCACTCTATGTCAGAGAGCAGTTCACTTACACTTTCTGAACCAGAATTTCAGTCCTCGCTAAAGTAGGTCAACTAAGCTGGATGGTTTGTCAAAGGCTTTGAGTTCTGAGATTAAATGATTCTTGTTCCTGTCTAAGAAGTAACCAGATTCATCACAGGCTAGGTCTTATAAACACAGGAAATTTCACTTCCTGATATTCAATATCCTATCCCCCTTAACAGAAAGAAAAAAAAAGTGAACCACATTTTAACCTTTAAATAATCCAAGGAAAGTATTTTTTTAACATGATTTGTTATGATGAAAAAAGGAGTGAAAGTTGTGCCAAATTCAAATATAAGGAAATTTAGGAAAGCATTAAAAAGGGGAAGATACACATCCAATTTTTTAAATTTTTTTTTAGATTTATTATGTATATAAGAACTGGGATACAGACCAGAGGTGAGGGGGATGAAAGGATTCACCAGAGACAGAGTGGGGAGCAGAACAGGCAGATCTACTGAAATACACTGCTGAGGGGAGCAGCGGGCAAGGCAGGAGAGGTCTGCTACACCATGTGGTTCATAGTGCTGTGCTCAAACCCTTGTGCCACTAGGGATGTCCCACATCCAATTTTTTTAAACTGTGAAATTCAATTAAATTACTATTTCATCATTAATGAGGATAACAAGAAAAGAACTTCAAAAAGAGAACAAGAATTTGATCCCAAAATGGTTGAAAATGACTGCTTTTTGTTACTTATTAACATATACATAAATATTTTATTTGTTGGTCTCTCTTTTTTTTTTTTTAATAGAGGCATGTTTTTATTTATTTATTTATTTGTTTGTTTTTGTTTATACATGCACTGGGTACAGTCAGAAGCACGGGAGGGTGAGAGAATTCACCAGAGCCAGAGCGGGGAGCAGAGCAGGCAGAAGGACCGAAGCACACTGCTGAGGGAAGCAGCGGGCAGCAGGAGAGGTCTGCGCGCCATGTGGGACCCTCCTCCAGTGGCCGGGGAGCAGCTGGGGATCGAACCGGCGTCGCAGAGGCCGCGGGCAGCTTCGCAACCCAGCGCTCAACCGCTGCGCCACCAGGGAGGCCCTACATAAATATTTTAAAGCACATTATCCTAAGTGTACAGCAAAATGAAATTCTGCAAAGCGTTTCACACACAGGTGACCAGCACTCAGCTCAATAAAAAGAAAAAAATGACCAACATCATAGAGACCTTTGTGGGGTTCCCTTCCAGTTCTTACCTACCCCAAAGGCAGTTAACTAGTATGTTAACTTCTAACATTCTGGTTTTGTCCTTTGTTAAAAAGGTAGCATATAGTATGTCCTATCTTGTCTTTTTTGGTCCAAGTTTACAGTTATGAAATTGATCCAATTTGCTGCATATAGTTATGCTCATTCATTCACATTGCAGTGCAGTATTCCACTGTGGGAATGCACCCCAGTTTATTAATCTATCTTACTAGGGAGGAACATTTGGGTTGTGTTCAGTTTGGTGTTACATATGACAATAATGTTTTAAAAGTGAATTTTTTAAGGAATTTTTAAAAATTTATTTATGCATACAAGAAGTGGGGTGTAGGCCAGAGGGGTAGGGGTTGAGAGGGTTCATCAGAGAAGAGTAGGGAGCAGAACAGGTGGATTTACTGAAATACACTGCTGAGGAGAGCAGTGAGTGAGACAGCCATAGCTTGATAGAGCTGAGACTTTAACCCCTGCATCACTACAGAGGCCCTAAAAATGAAGTTTTATAATTAAATTGCTTTTCCTAAAAAATGGGTATCCATCAAAAATATGATACATAAAATAAAGGATTTACCTGGGAGTTTCTGGTGGTATCCTGTAACTCAGCTTCAAGTTTTTGGATCGCCTCCCTTAGCTGAATATTTTCTTTTGCAATTTCATCAATTAACATCTAAAAGAAAAATCAATGAGTAGTAAAAAATTAAACAGCCTCTGAACTTGTTTTTTTAATTAAGAAATTTTAGGTTTTTTTCAAAGATTTATTTATGCATAAAAGAACTGGAGTGTAGACTAGAGGTGCAGAGGGTAAGAGGATTCACCAGAACAGAGTGAGGAGCAGAACAGGTGGAGGTACTGAAATACACTGCTAAGGGGAGCATCAGGCAAGATAGGAGAGGTCTGCTGCACCATATGTGGGTTAGCTCTCTGGCTGTGGATTAAACTCATGCCACAGTGGTGACAGCATGATAGTGTTGAGACTTAACCCCTGGGCCACTAGGGAGACGCTGAATTCATTTTTTCAAATGAATGAATAAAACAAAATCTCCCTCATCCTGAGCAAGGCAAAGAAAGGCATTAGACAGTATAAGAATAAAATGTGATCACATAAATAATACATTTGTTGAATGCTTTACATCATCACTTTTCTATTTTCCAACCACAGCCAACACCAACAAGGTCTCATCTTTTACATGAGACCAAAGTCATAGAAATTTTTACAGTACAACAGGATTGAGACCTAGATCTTCTCAATTTTAATTCAGTGCTCTACCAACTCTTTTCCTTTTTGTGACAAAAATATGACTTTTAATTGCACTGTAATTGTGGACATGTTACTCTAGGGCAATAAAACAAAATTTCTGATTCCCACAGCATAGCTGCCTTGTCAAGAAAGGCATATGGCTGTGGATAAGTGAATTAACTACCTGAGCCTCCCTTCTCTCCAGGGTTTGAGCTCTTAACTTCCAGCTGCAAATCAAAGGAGTGAAAAAAGCAGTTAATATTCAAAGTCTTGTGAAAGAAAAAGTAGAAAGATATCTCTTTTAAGGTTTGAATAATGGAAGTAATAAAGTTTGAAAACCCTAATATACTCCCAATTCAAGGTAATGGTGGAAAAAGACAAATAAAACGTGCTTCATTATAAAATTAATAGATATAAGTTAATTATAATAATTCCCAGTAATTTTCCTTTTTACCTGTTTTTCTTCATCTTCCATTAATCCATCTTCTAGGCAATTCATGTTAAGAAAGTGTGTGTTATACCCAACTGCCATCAGTTGCTATAAAAATAAATATTTAAAAAATAGTACATACACACAAATTCAAGAAGTAACAACTTTTACTCTTTTACAAAAGAAACATGTTTTCTTTGCTATATCTCTGTCCTATCATCGAAGTCTTTGCTATCATGTAGCTAATATCCAAAGGAATTCTATATTTCAAATAACTTTTACACCTATACATATATAAAATGGTTCTAAAAATCTTTTGCTTTTTATAGCACAATAGAAAATAGTGGGCATTAACATTCTTTTGTAGTTCACACCTCAATCATAATATGATGCTACATTTTAAAGGATTACTGTTTTGGTTTCTAGTCTTTTTCAAAGGTTTTCATTTAATTTAGTTCTCACTACTGTACTCTCAGAATGTGAATACAAGTAAAAAAGACTCCAAAACATGCTTCTTCCACAGTTGTAGGAGATCTCTGGCATTTCACGCTCCTCTGGAGTCCAAGCCCATGGATAGGAAACAAAAATTACATCTTTATTTCTAATAACCTCTAACTGAAACGTAGCAATCTCTTCAAGTATGAAAATAGACAACAAGTCACATAGGATTTGCAGCATCTGTGACAAAACCACTAAGATAACACAGATATCTTCATAAATATTATAACCGTTGCATATATCTTGAAGTATTGTTGATGTTTAACCTTGCTTCAAAATTATGGTAGTTATAAGCTCACGACTAGGTCTTGTGATATGTTGTAGGATATTAATATACATTACTATTCAAATATTTGTTTTTACTGATATTTGAAAATAATACGTATCCATTGTAATTCTATGTATTTTGTCTTATACTTTTCAAAAGCTTATTTTCCTTTCAGAAAAGGCTATAGATTTTTATCAGATTGGTGAGGAATCCAAGACACAAAAAAAATTAAGAATGCTTGCCTGCATATGAACTTACTGAGAGGAAGAAGTGCCAGATCAAAAATGAAGCAAGGAATATGACCACAGTTTTTATGTTCTCAAAAGTATTCTAATAACCTGTCTATAATGTAATCTTCTAAATTCCAGCTGTCTATTCCTGTAAGAGAAATAGGAAAGATTTAGTTTTTTTTTAAAAAATAGAAAACTAGCTAAAAGTCACATCTTAATTTTACCCACTGTGAACACAAGCAGTGACAAAAAAAGAGGGGATCAAATAGCACCCAGATCTTTATTTCTAATCTAATCAATACAATTGTTTATTTCTAATCAATTTATTTCTAATTTATTTATTTATTTCTAATTTATTTCAAATCAAGCAATACAACTGTTAGGGAGCTACCATTTTCCCCACCACTGCTTACATGTAGCCACCTGGGACTAGCTACTGGGAACTAGGGGGCAGAGTTGAGGGGCCAGGTAAGGCATATAACACAGGGAGGTAGGCATGTAAAAAGTGCTCTGGCTTCTCTGGTTTTGACTTGTACCTAGGGAATCAAGAGATATGGAAGGAGATTCCTGGAGGAGATACTTATAGATACATGGGTTCCTCTCATTTGGAATTCTCTGAGCTGGGGTCCAGACCAGAGATGGGGCAGGGGGAAGGGAGGCAGAGGATTCACAAGAAACACGTGGGTGAGAGACACACAGAAGGTTGTCCTTGGCAGAGACAATGGCAGCTGTTATTTTAATTTGTTCTTCTATTTTGTTCATTTTGAGCACTTGCCTGGCCCCTTTCACCAATTTTTTGTGTTTCTCCTCCAGAAAATGCCATAGATGGTAGCATGCTTTCAAGCATCAGCAGCCCCACTTCAAGCCAACACTATTTGGCTGGGTATTTGCCCACAAAGGGATGGATAATTGGGGGTGTTTTATGGGAATATTTTATCAGGAAATCCTCTAATCCACTAATTCTCTTAAAGATCTTTCACACTAAGAGTCTGCTTTGCCTTTGTAGCATGGATGGCAGTATCCTTATATAGTGTGCAAGTTTGGGAGCTCCAGGGAACCCCTTGGTCACAAGCTAACAAAATGAATCAGGGTTCCTTGGTAAATATGTGAAGGATAATAGAAGCCAGGTTTTTTACTCCAAGAGGGGGTAATTATTAATAAGGGCAGGGAATAAACTATTCTTTAGGGGTTCCTCTCATTTGGAATTCTCTGGGCTTCTGGTACCTGTCCCTTTTTTTCCCCTGATTAGCAAAGCATTCAATCATCATTTTTTCAAATAATTTTTCTGGCCCTTTCTCTCTCTTCTTCTGGAAATCCTCTATGTATACTATTCCCTATGAAGTTGTCCCAGAAGTTCCTTAAGGTATCTTCACTTTTTTCATTTAGTTACTCTGGGTGAATTTTATTGCTCTGTCTTGCACCTCTTTATCAGCTCCTATTTCCTTTTGTCTGCTGTTGGGCATGTCTACTGTATTTTTCAATTCTATCCTTGTATTTCTCAGTTCTGTAAGTTCTGTTAGGATTTTTCTTAAATTTTCTAGTCCAATCATTTTTTTCTCCTGATTTCAGTGAGTATATTTATAACTGTTATTTTGAACTCTCCCTCAGTTATTTTCATTTCTTTAAGGTCTTTTTCTAGAATTTTATTCTTACTCTTTCATTTGGGACATGTTCTTATGTTTCCTCATTTTGCCTGATTCTCAGTGTTGGTGTTATGTATTAGGCAGCTCTACTATCTCTCTTAGTCTGGAGGGATTGGCCTTGTGCAGGTGATATCCCATGCATTCTGGCAGCAAAATCCCTTGGTCACCTGAGCTAGGCTCTCAAGAAGTGTCTCTATTTTTTAAAGATTTGTTGATTTATTTATGCATACAAGAGCTGGGGTCCAGGCCAGAGATGTGCGGGGGAGTGAGAGGATTCACATAAGACAGAGTGGGGAGCAGAACAGGCAGATGTACTGAAACACACTGCTGAGGAGAGCAGTGGGCAAAATAAGAGAGGCCTGTTGTATTGAGTCCCAGGGCAAGTGAGTCTCTATGTGGGTCCTTGAAGGGCAGGTTCTCTATTTCCTACATATAGTTCTTTGGCTTTTCTACTAATCCTTAACACTAGGTCTTGTCTTCACTGTGCAGAATCAAAGGGTTAGGGTACCCAGGGCAGAGCCTACCTGCCACCCCTCACTCACCAGGGATAAGTTTTGTACCTTCAAGATTCTTCCCAACCCAGATTCCCACTGCCTGGGAGTGGGGAGTTTCTCCCTTGGTGAAAATCTATCTCAATTTGGCCTACCTTTCTGTGTGCTGTCCTTTTATCTTTTGTTGTTTTAATTATTTGCTTTATTCTATTTGATTTGGGCTTTGAAATCCAAATATGGAGTAAATTATCCCATATATAGCTGCATGCTTGTTGGGTCTGTGGAAGGAGGTGAATTTAGGTTCATCCTAGACCTTCATCTTGAACCAAAACTCTAGGCAGAAAACTAGAATGAATATTGTGAACTGAAACAGGAGATATCGGTTTAATCCTCATGATTTCCAAAAGATAGAGTATTAGAAAGATAAAGAGGTATATAGATATAATATGTGTATTCATGCATGTGCACATATATAGCCTCTATCTATGTATCTACTCCCTAGCTTGTATGATGAGCCAATCTGAAAATAAAAACAATAGCAGTGCACACCTAGCATCAAGAATTTGGTTTCTATTACCATTTTCTACTACATGAAATCAAGGTTTTTTATGAGATATGGCTGATTCCAGGATAGGAAAACTATAGAAATACTGTGACTTATCATGCCAGAAAGCAAGGAAGTGGTCAAAGAATGGTGAGGACAAGTAAAAAGGACAACAGACTTCAAGTGAAAGAGGTTCTCACTGGCCAAATCTGTGAATAAGTTAAGTATAAAAATAATGACAGTATGGTTAAATGCACTGAGTAAAATAAAAACTATGAGTCCAAACTGGCATAAATAAATTAAAATTGTTATGTGGAAAGGACCATTTAGTTAGTTTCAAAATACTTTCCCCACAGAACACTCATTTATTTCTAAAGGGAAAAAGAGTCACTCGACAGTGAAAAAGTCAGACAGATGCCACCATGATGAAATAATCAAAGTAAATAATGAGATAACTCAAAATCATCTGCCATTTGAGAAGGTGCACTAACACAGCAAGACTTCTGTGATGTTCCTGCCAAAGATGCATAATCTGAATCCAAGCATGAGGAAACGTTAGACAAGCTGGCCAATTCTCTTCAAAATATCAAGTTCATAAAAGTTAAGGAAAAACTAAGAGATTATTCCAGACAGAAGGAAACCAAAGAGATATCAAAACTAAATGCAATTCATGATTCTGAACATGATTCTTACACAGGATATTATGAGGACAATTGGCAAAATTTAAATTAGATCCAAGAATCAGCTGGCAATATTATATCCTGATTATTCTACTTTGGTTATGTTGAGAACATCTTTTAAAAACACCTTTTGCATATATTTCCTAAAGAATTTCAAGGTAATGTCATGAAGTTGGAAGCTTATTCTTAAATAATTTGGGAAAAAGAAAAGTTTAATTCTACTTGGTTTCAGAATAAAAAAATAAAGTTTCATAATATAAGTAGCTCCCTACTGCACCAACAACAGAATTCTTAAATGGTATTCAACATTCATCCAAGGCTTATACAATGCTAACTCCGACTTACTTTCTGGCCTTACTTAGACAACTACTGGACTAAGTCCCCCAACTACACTGGACACTCAAAGGGTCTCTCTCCTTACTCCCCTCCCAACCTTAGTCTCCACCAAATGAAATTCTATTCTTCTTCAAATTCCTCCCCAAATTTCTAATGCCTATTCTGTTTCCTCCAAAGGACATCAATTCTTTCTCTTGTGAGGAGTTTTAACTATTTGTGTATCTATGCAATTTTCCATGATTAGGTGGTCATGATCTTGAGGCCAAGGACACATACACTTCTTTCATCTGTTCAGAGCACAATGCCAGCTTACACACTGAAAACATTCAATGTGTATAGGATCATGGGGTGTCTTGACCCAGGTATTTGTTCTGCTCAGGACTTCCATGTATATGAAGCTCTCTTACTATGTTTCCATAAAATTAGGAATTCCCATGTCACTGAATTGCTTTTTTTTTTTAAAGATTTATTTATTTATGCATATAAGAACTGGGGTACAGGCCAGAGATGCAGGGGGTGAGAGGATTCACCAGAGACAGAGTGGGGAACAGAATAGGCACACTGACTGAAATACACTGCTGAGGGGAGCAGTGGGCGAGACAGGAGTGGTCTGCCTTGCCATGTGGGTTTCTCCCTGGCCGGGGATAGAACTGTGCTGCAAAGGCTGTGGATTGCTTCATAGTGCAGTGCTTAACCCCTTGCAACACCAGGGAAGCTCTCATTGAATTGCTTTTTTAAAGTCAATATTCTTTAGAGCTTAAAATAAAAGCTCTCATTACATTTAACTCATGTAAATGGTTTACTACAGAATTTCTTTGATATCCAGATACTTGTGTCTTCACATGGGATATAAATGCAAACAGAAAAACAAATAAGTTAAAAAAAAAAGGAAAAAAAATAGAAACAGGTAGTAGGCAGAGTAATAACCCCCTGAATGATCCCCATGTCCTATCCCCTCAATCTGTGAATGTTAGATTACACTGCAAAGGAGAATTAATTTTGTGGATTGAATTAAGGTTGCTAATCAGATGATTTTAAAATAAGGAGTTCATTCTGGATTATCCCTGGGACCCAATGTAATCATCAGGGCTCTTTAAAGGGAAAGAGGAAGGCAGAAGAGTAGTCAAAATAAGATGTGATCCCAGAAGATTGGTCAGAAACGTGCAGTTACTGGGTTTCAAGACCTACAATGGCACCACTGAGCCAAGGAAGGTCAGCAGCCTGAAGAATCTGGAAAAGGCAAGAAAGCAGATTCATCCCAATATCTTCTAGAAAAGAAGTTAACCCTGTAGACACCTTGATTTTAGTCTAGTGGGTCAGACTTTTAAGATATATTTAAAATAATAAATTTGTGGGGTTTTTTAAATCCACTTCGTAATTTGTTATGGCAGTTTATGAAAAAATCTCTTATCTACCACTTACTTTCCTAATATTCTTATATCACTGTGATGCCCAATTGAGTAAAATCTTCCAATATGCATGCCTGGCAGCTAAAAGAAAGTAAATGAGGGTAAGGAGGAGGTGATTAGAAAGATGGTGAAACACAGTTAGGATTGGATTGGTGGTATTTTGTTGTTTTGTTTTTGTTTTATGAACGTAAGCATGTTACACTGACTGGGAAACCTCCTAGTTTCCCTACATTTTCTGAAAAATGAGGCTCTACAGCCAAACTGCACCTCTGCCAAGAACAAACTCTGAGCCTGCCAAGCAGCGTAAGGCTCCTTAAGGAATCCGTTTTCCTTACAACTATCTCCAGACACGCTACAAGAACCGTAGGGAAGCACAAACCAATTTTAGTTTCAATTTCCCTAAAGAAGAAAACTTAGAAGAAAAGGGTCAGAGGCCTGGACAGCACAAAAAAGGGATCGCGGGCAGGGAGACAGGCGCGCCCCCCCCGCCCCCCCCCCGCCCCCAGCGATGCCGCTGTCACTACCCAGCTGCAGGACAGGTGTGGGGCTCAGAACCGCTGCCCCCTTGGCGCTGACACCGCGCGGTCCCGGCCCCGCGGAACCAGCCTCCCTCCCCAGCCGGGCCGCTCTAGCCCGGGACTACGAGGAGCAGGGATGGCACCTGGCGAACTGAGAGCCCCACTCACTTACCTTAGCCCTGCGAGCGCGGGGTTCCAGGGCCCAGGGCGCCCACCTTGCCCGGAAACGTCGTGCTGCTGCGCCGGGGCTGGGAGCTGCACTAGCCTGACTATTTTCACTTTCGATTTTTATAAAGTGATTGTTTTGTTTTTGGTTTAAAGGTTATCTATGCCAAAAATATGCCTGACGTTTCCATAAACACTAATTTTTTAGTACCTACTCTATAAACCACCCTCTTTGTGTGCATAACTAGACCTATTGTTGAAAAGTGGATTAAAATCAAATAAAATCAAAGTAGACTGTCTTCCAAATTGTAACTCTCATTGGAATTTATTGGTCTTTATAACCGTAATCTATAAATTTTTACAACCAGCACAAGATCAACTTTTCTTTGTGTCTTTTGCAATGTCATCTGAGTCATGAAGTTGGGAAAACTGTGGTATTCAATTGGTTTCTGTTGCCCATGGCTCTCGAAAAGTTTTCTTGTAATCTTTTATTTTGCTGTGAAACATGCAAATAAATTCACTTATTGTGATCTTTTCCTTTGAAAATAAAAGCACCTGACTTATTTAAAGAATTGTGTGTTTCTTAAGCCTACACAAACCTGGTCTTCTCTAGGGGTCAAGGCAGGGATGTATAAAAATGATTTCCAGTCATAAATTCTAGCTTAGAGAGCTAAGCAGTTATTCATAACAACTGATACAGTATTTAAAAACAACAGATTAACAGAGGTCACATTCGTTCTATGAAGAACATTCATGGGAATCAGTTTAAATTGGCCTTCCTGAATTAAAGAGTGTATAATAAGGACTTCCTTGTGCTTCATCTTTTCAGTTGGCACAAATTTTCATCTGCTGTGACTTAAGAATTACTTCTGTTTAATCTTAGAACTTTAGAGAGCATGAACTCTACATGTCATTTAGTTTAACTTCATTTTTTCTTTTGCTTCATTTTTGTTTTTTATAAGAAGACACTAAGCAACAGGGTCATTCCCAGAACAGGACTGACCTCATCTTGATTCAGCTACTGTGAAACGGCAAAGAATGTAGTAGAGAAGCCTTTCTAGCTACCCACATGCTAAAGTTGAGCCATATGTAAAAGTCTGGATTCAACTCAGCTTCAGCTCCTATACTCTACAAAGTGCAGGGGTTCTAAAGATGAATTCCACTCCTGAACATATTCTTATTAATAACTGTAATTGATAACATCTTGTGAGAATTCCTGGGCACTTTATAAACCTGTTTATTTTGCCAAATAAGGTATTATGCTTGCTTTGCAGATAAGGAATTTAAAACTTAAAAAGGTGAGCCCAAATCAAGCAGCTCCTGTGTGATGACGCTGAGGCCGTACTCAACTCTTGACTGTGAAATCCATGTCTTCACACTGTTCTGTTGTGCGCAGTGAAGGAATCCATGGCCACAAGTGATTAGCAAATGCTCTACATGAATTTACCTTTGGAGACTCACAGTGCACATCAGCACATTATGAGGTTTAAGAAGTATTGCAGGGGGAAGTTTAAGCACCCATTTAAAAGTTTGTATAATCTTGAATTTATCAAACTAATTTAATCATTAAGTCCCTTTTTTTTTCTTCATGGAGCAGCTATTAAAATCTTGACATTTCCAATGGGCCAATTTGTAATGCTTGACTAAAGATGTGGTTCAGGACACAATATCCTAATATATGGCACCTTGGCATATTGTTTATTTTAAGCAGTTGATTGAGAAGTTGACTGAGAAAACAGAAGTAGCAGGAAGGTAGCCCTGTCCCTATTTCCATTCCTTCCTCTGGAACAGGTCATAAAGCACTTCTGTGAGAGGTGCCCTCCCTACACCTAGAGGAAAGGAGTATTCTAATCTCAGAAAATAAAGGACCAGAGCAACACCAACAATAACCATAACATGAGTTGCTAAAATTCAACCCCCCACACACATTTATTACACTTACCTTGTACTCCTTCACCTATCATTTTCCTCTACAACTGCCCACTCTTGATCAAACCCAGCACAAAAATACTCAGATCTAATTATTTCTTTACATCTTTATTCTGTTAGTAAGTCTCCTTTGTTATATAAAACATAAAATAAGTTTGAAAACTTTTTGCTATTAAACTGATTTGTCCATTTAATTTTCAGACTCAGTCAGAGTCAGTTGAGGGTCAAGGGAAATTGTTTCCTCTCCTACACTAAATTATGCTATCTGCTAATATAAAAGTTATTATTTACTTGACTGTCTCTCACATAATCAATATTATGTCCCACATTAGATACCCTGGGTATCTCATGTAAGTCTACACCACACTGTTATGACATGTATATTGTGTCACACATTTATCTCCCCCACCAGATGGCAATGAATTCCTAAACTACCCTGTAAATTATAGATTCAAACACACAAACACATTTTGCAATATGTAAGTGTATTATATCATGCTGTACTCCTTAAACTCATACAATGTTGTGTTAATTATATGTCAATAAGTGTGTGTGTTGGGGGGGACAGAGAACGGATTTTTTTTAAAGTAAAGGAAAATAAAGACCCCATCCCTTAAAATAAAGACCCCAATATTAAATATTCAAGAGCATGTTTTTTGATATCAAATGTTGGTTTGAATAGCAATTTCAAGTTACTGAAGTTTCTCAGTCTAGTTTTCTCATCTGTGAAATGGAGTTATTGTGAATGAGATATTGTTTCATGTCAAAGACTAAGAACAGTGTCTTACCTATGATAAATAGCAGCCATTACCACTTTATCCATTGGTGAAATTTTTTTTAATTTTTTTCTTGAACATTTCTTCTCCTTTATCTTCCTACCTAGGTAAATACTTTCAAGATTAACCATTTTTAAAAAAAATCTCTTTGTGTCACTTACAGTTATCACATAGTGACTACACCAAGTGCTACTACATACTTATTTCTAACTAGTGCCTAAACCCAAGAGTAGGACCCAGTGTTATCATCTCTCTGACTAGGCTTTCATATCAATGTGTGTGACTATGTCTGTATAGATAAAATATTAGAGACAGATCAAAGTTTTAGAAATTAAAATTCAAGTAAAATAAAAATAATAGAATTAGAGAATGAAGAATATTATTTTCTTAAATCTTGCCTGTGCCACTGATTTATCATATAAACATAATCTGTCTGAAATTTTTTTGTTTTGTTAAAGTATTTACAGAATGAAACTACTGTCTTTAACAGTGCTAGAAAGGGGAACAATTAAGTGTTTTTCTCATAAAATAGAGGCTTAAAAATAAGCATTTATATTGAATATCCAAGTCTGTAAGATATTAAGCAGTAAACCTCAATATTACAGTAAGAAAACTATTTTAAGGATAAATAAGAATATTGCTTTTTTGGTTTTACTTGTTTAATTGCAAACTGAATACTGCTTCTGATAGAATTCTCTCAGGATGAACTGATGGTATGGTAAACCCAATCATTTGACTTGAACATAAAATCACAGGGGAGAAACATTTCAAAGAATCTTAAGATTCTCAGAGACACTTTAAACAGAACGTGGCCTTGGAATGTTGGAAACATTGAAATATTAAACTCTGATTACGTTATAACAAATACCCCAGTGGAAGTGTAGAGCAAAACATCCAGATAAATTAATGTGACTATTCAAGGATTTCAGCTTTTAAAAGAACATACACTGACATAGTGAAACAGCTAACAAAACAGAAGAAATTTATTTTGTTTGACAATTTCATTTTTTGAATTGGAAAATTGTGGTTTGTTTTTGTCTCAGGGGCTGTATAAGTAATTCAGAAATACCAAGAAACAAGATTTGGGTTGGTGCTTGAGTAAATTGTTTCTGATTATTTCCCTGGTTTGAATGGTATTCTGCAAGAGAGATCAAGTCATTGCAACAAGGAAGTTCACTAATCTATTCAAGGTATTAAAAACATACCAGGCAAAAAAACTCAATTACTCCTAAGTTAAATTTGTTTTCTGGTTTGTCTAAGTGAACCTTGTTGTTTGGAGGGACACAATTTCTGCTAAGTTATCTCAGTATAGTATATGCCTATGAGTGATTGCCTTTGAAATGTGTCTCACAGTTACAAGAAAGAAAAATTGAGCAAAAGGATCTCCTGTAGACCAGTGCTTCTCAGACTGTAATGCCCGTCCAAATCAGCTGGCTATTTCCTTAAAATGCAGAACCTGATCACATAGGATTGAGATGGAGCATCTGCATTCCCAGCATTGCTAGATGATGCTAATAGTGCTAATTCTTTTTTTTTTTTTTTAAGATTTACTTATTCACACATACAAGAACGAGGGTACAGGCCAGATGCACAGGAGGGTGAGAGGCGTCACCAGAGACAGAGTGGGGAACAGAACAGGCAGACTGACTGAAATACACTGCTGAAGGGAGCAGCAGGCAAGACAGGAGAGGTCTGCCATGCTATGTGGGTTTCTCGCTGTCCAGCCAGGATCAAATCCACACTATAGAGGCTGCAGACAGCTTCACAGCACTGTGGTCAAACACCTGCGCCACCAGGGGAGGCCCAATAGTGCTAATTCTTGGATTACTTTTTGAGTAGCAAGTTATTATATTAACCAGTTCACATAAAGATCAAAGAGTGAGCAGAAACAGTCTTCTAGTGGTCTGTGGTCCCCATTCTGGCTCAGTCAGGGAACACAAACCCCTCTTCCTATTTGCCATTCTGATTAGTGGTACACAGATGGAAGGCAAGACATTTCTAGGTGCCCTTGGTAGAAAGAACAGCTGTTCCTGTCTTCCATGCCACCTCCTTCAGAGAGCAATAGATCTTTGTCTTCAGCTAAGCTGCCATTACCACTCTTCTGAAATGGAAAGGAAGGAATAAACCATTAGGGTGAAACAGGTCAAAATGATGCCCCCTAAAAAAGTGGGAAGGAAGTAAGGAAAAGCCAGAGTAAAAGAATAAGATTAGTGTATCTGGAAACCTTGAAAGGAATATTCTTTTCTCTTTCATTAATTATTCAATTTATTCTAAATGGTTTGTCCTAGTGCATAATATAACAAGATAGAATGATCTCACATGCAACTCTCATTTTAATAGCATAATATCTGCATGGGGTAGTTTGATTATGTTGGATTAATAGAGCCAGAGACATCCCTCTAAGGACTTAAACTCCTCCAGAAAAATTATAAATAAAAACAAGCTTCATCCCCCAAGAAAAATAAAACAAAAAAAAATGTCCTTCAGATCTTATTGCTTGGTAACTTTATGAATTGGAGTGGAAATATTATTGCCTTTTGGGAGGTTGACCTCAACTGTTTTTCAACACTTTGAGGAAAAAGTCTAATTTTGATGTCAACACTCCAAAGTGAAGTTCTCTCACGTATGAAAACAGCTGGTTGGTTGACTTGTCATGGAAATTGAACCACTTTAAAATTGCCAGGAGAACCTGACTGAATCTCTGCTCTGACCCTTACTAGCTCTGTGAACTTGGGCATGTGGAATTTGTCTAGCACATACTCAGTGCTCAAAAATGTGAGTTCTCATATTATTTCCCTTAAACTTTCTGATGCTCAGTTTCCAGGTTCCTCAAATGTA